TTGTGTTTTATTCTCAGTTTGAATGGACTTAACATAATTGTGTAAAATGTACAAAAATATAAAATAACATAATCAATGTGAAATCTAGTCAATTTTGAAATACATAAGATAAATCCTGGAAAATTTGAAGCATTAGTATTAGAACAGTAATACATTAAGTGAGAAATGTATTCTCCTGTGTAGGTGATTCATAACTTATTTTATATAAAAATTTGATTTGACATGTTACATGTATGATGTTTCTGTTGTCATGTATTCTCCCTCTCTCTCTCTAATTGTGCCATGCTGGCACTGTACCCATACTGACACAAATGTAATGCACCCACACAGACATGTTGCCATCTGAATTTAAATGGTTTGTTGCATTGGGCTATCAATCAGACCATCTGTCTCTGTCCTCCCAGCCTTCATTAGTGGTTGTGCGGTGCATATGTCACACATCCAGCTGGCACAAATGCATGTTCACACACAGCTCCACCTTTGTCCACCTCGTGCAGTGCTTAGTTCTCAGCCAATAGCTGGCAGGAGTGCCAACCAGAATTGCTCCATGTGAGTGTGAACTGAACCCGTATTTAGTGTTTACAAAGTGTGTGCGAACTGCTGCAATCCTTTATCAGACAGGATGTGGTATCTATTCTTTTTGTTGTTATCATCAGCATATCTGTTCAGATATGGGGTGTTTGGGGGTGTGTTGTTTTCCCATTTGATCATGGCTTAAAAATGCCAAATGATTTGTGACAAATCAATATAATTGTGGCTTAATATTTATTAATGATATCATTCATATAAAAAGTTGCAGTGTTGCCTTGTTGTCTAGTTATTATAGGCATCTTGGCCACCACATGGCTACGCCCCTGATGTTCTTCACAACAATGAACTTTATGTAGCCTATAAAGATATATTGAAGTAAAAAAAAAAGAATATGATTTAATAATTACTTAATTTATGAAAAACAGATTGCTATATATTTTAAATCAAAGGGTAAAAACAGTTTGAATACCATTTTATTTAATAAGTAATGCTGTATCAGTAGCCAATAAGCTTGATGCTCAACTCTGAACTTTAAAATACATTTGCTTTAGCAGTTTGCAGTGCACTTTCAGAAACCCTCCACCTTCCCAGCTCCACATGTATAGATTTGCTACAGGTATATGTATGCTATTGTACAGCAGCAGCATGTCTTACTTGCTCACAGCAGTGTATCCTTGTATGTATTGGCATTATGGGGAAAACTCATGGTAACAACGGATCGTTAGGAATGATTAGATGAATGTGATCATTTTTGTGTGGGCCTGAAATCACCGATACAACCTTTAAAGGGAAAGGCACTTCAAAAGGGAAAGACCTTTCGATAGGAATCAGTAATGTGAAAGTCATGTGCCCTCTAATGGTGAAGTATGAAAGTGCTATTAAAGGGAAATACTTTCCTAAAAGACTCATTGTTCTAAAAATATTTCTTATGTGGTTAAAATCAATTTGACATGCAAATTGTTTGAGTAGATGTCATGACGTTGAGTGTTCTGCTGCATATCACACTGAGTTTTATAAACGCAATGTGCTGTGTATTTTGTTGAGTCACGTCACATGTGTTTCATGCCTTTGGCAGTGCAATCTATAGTTTTACAGGATAGACCACAGTTCAGACAAAATGTTCTGTACTACTCCTGAGCACCGCCTTCACTTCACAGGAACACATGCAGAGGTGATAATTTACTTGTGTGTTTTGTGAAAGATGAGGTTGGTGTTGCGTAACTGAGAAGTTTGCACTGTGTATAATAAATGATCAAGTGTTCGCAGGGAGATGCTCTTGTAGATGAATGTGAATGTTGTAGCAATTATTGGAGCCAGAATGACTAGAACAATCAACTCTGTCAATCTTTTACCAGTTCTCGTCTTAGTATGGCTAGATGGAGCTGCTGAAAAGACCAGCTTTTTATTGATTGATACCACCAGGCATGCATAATCAGATGATATTTGGTCATGTGAGTATCGACATTGGTTTGACTGATTCAATAACACATGCCATGGTATACCATGATGCAGCGTTATTCTCCAACGACCACCTTAGCTGTGTGTTTTGATGAAATAAACCAATTTAAAATATAAATCTCAGATATTTAGCTATTTCATGATTATTTCACATATTTTATGAAAACGTTTCTCGATTAAGTGCTTATAAGCAAAGATCAGCGGTTATTTTGTGTCTTCAAATATTTATGATGAGTTTGGAGCAAATGTTTTATAACTTTTAAATTCCACAATTTTCCTCCTTTTTATAAAAAGTGTATAATGAGAATATAGAATTTGTAATTCTTTCAGTCTTGCTTAGTTTATAGCACACATTTCCATGCTAGTCCAGATTTTTGGTCAGTGTCGATTTGACGCTGTTCACCAGCAGAACGAAGTGTTGTAGATGGATCTGCTTGATCTTTCTGGTTGAGAGACTGCTAAATAAGGAAACCAGAATCATAAACGTATTGTATGATCTCTTTTCAGTGGAGTGTTTTATGTTTTTGGTTCTTTGCTTTGTCATATGCTATGGGCTACAACATACATATATACAACTAGTGTCTCATTGGAAAATACTATCACTTTTATTTTCTATCTCTGTTTATCGCTCTCTTCATTTGCAAAGTCAGAGTAAAATTGATGATTTGATTGGTTCTCTGCCATGCCATGAGAATCCCCACCCGTTTGATTTTAGAGCGAGTCCACAGCAGCAGAGGTGCATAGCGGTAACAAATCACCCCACAAACATTGCCATTTCACAAACTCAGCAGGGTCTCAGGAAGCTGCTGTGCTTTTGCACGCGCACAGGAGAGGGAGCAGTACAAAATGGACAGTAGTTCATTTTAATGTGTGTTTTGACACATTACAAACATGCGCTCAGAAGGATTTGTTCTTTCTGTACTTGCTTGCCAAACTCTGCATGTGAGAGTGAAGTTGGGAGGTATCTCAGAAACCTGAGGAGGTCCAAAATATTCTTGGAGAAATCGCCATTAATGCCCTTAATTAGATTAGAGATTGGATCGAAGTAAAACAGCAAGAGGACAGAAGCGATCCCTCAACCGGTGTGTCTGTTAATGGCTGTGGTGAAAGTAGGCCAGTGTTTCTGTTATTATGGCCCACAGATCTCTCATTGGCCAGTCTTTCATGTTTTTTTTTTTTCTCTGCACGCGCAGACACACGCATTTGTTCTCTCACTTACTAATAAGGTCTCATTTGGAATGGCGCTGGCCTTTTTGGAACCAGAGACTTAGTGGCCTTATTTTCAACTATAAACAGAGGTGGCGATTGGACTCGGAGACCCTGCAGCTCTGGTTGTGCTGAACTTATTACGAGTTTCTCTCTGTCAGTCCGTGTTCTTTCTGCCTCAGAAGACACCCTCTCACATATTTGTATGCGTACTCTGGCTTTCAGCCATCCAACAAGTAATATTGTGTTTTCTCTTTTTGTGTGCTAGCTGTGTGAGCTGTGCTCTTGCTTGCTAGCTTGTCTCAGTCACACACACGCATACATATCTAGGGATGCCGGAGGGTCAGCTTTCACTTTAATCTAGGAAATAATTCCATTTCCCATTAGCGTAATTAATTGGGAGCTTACTGCAGCACGAAAATGTAGAGGACTAATGTGGGCTCAACGTGTGGTCTTTGTGTGTGTGTGTGTGTACAGAGCGCTGACATAGTGTTATGGATGGCTGATTAGCATAGTCGTTATAAAATTATTGCCTCATGCTTGACATGACTGGCAACATGAATAACGGTTCCTTTGGGTGTAAAGCAAATGGTGTTTTCCAGATTACTGTATGCTGATACAAGATCTGTTTTCATTGTTTGGTGAAAGTAAATGTAATTTATTAATAAAATATTGAGAGAAATATGCTGTTGAAGAGTAGTGGTCTTTCTCTGGTCATTATTTCTTCCTAAAATACAAAGGGAGCTCTCTATGTTCATGTATAAATAGTACTGAACTAAGAACATGTTGTCTCGTTTTAAAATGAAATATTCAGCTTCTTTTGTCATTTGTATTGTAGTCTACTAAACCAAAAGAAATTCTGAAAATATTTTCTTAAGTTGGTATAACTTTTCTCTACCCACTGGTAATGTTAGTAATGGTAAATCGTACTGTTAGGTATGTACAGTGTACACATGAAGAGCGCAGTTTCAGTTCAGTTTAATTTAATTCACTTGTATCTCGCCACCCTATGGTTGTGCAGGTAATGTTTCCTTTCAGCTTACTTTCTGAAGTTAGTCTTTTTTTATAGATTAAAGCTATGCACTGTGTAATTCTTATAGTTTATTCTTAGCTTAAAACAGTTCTTTCTAAAATATATGTGCTCATTAATGTATATTTACTACGTTCAAGTAATAAAGTATTCTCGTGAGTGTATAATATGCCATTGGAAATACATGGGGTTCTAATGTCGTCGCCATGTTGCCCCTCCATCTTGAAAGTACATTAGCCAAAGAGGGACATACCCGTTAATTCAAGCTTCGCCTTTCGCGTTCACGTTTGAGTTAACACTCATGGACGAGGTCGAACTGGAAGCCATGTTAATCTTGGACTACCTTGGCCACCGTAGGAGTTAAAACCAAATCGGAATTGAGAGGAACAGAAACTAATATTCACTGGATGATCATATACCTTTTCACCGCTAGATGGGGGTAAAAATCACACAGTGTAGCTTTAATGGAAGAATTTGAAGAACTTTACTTTCTAAAAATTCTTAATTCTTTGATTTCATTTTGATTTGTGTCAAATCATTCTAAATGATCCAAATATGGCCTTTGAGTAAAAAAAAAGAAAGAAAGGTGAATTCAATCGATTCACTGTTAACAACCCTCTTCACTGATCGTTTTCGTTTGGGTTAGTTTCCTTTTCTCTTTATTTTCTTCATTTGATTTGTTTATTTATTTTTTTTTTTCATTTATCCCCCAGACCTCCCAACCTAAGGTTGTTTCATCAGCTCAATTTCTCTCCTCTTCTCACTCACTAATTAGAGAAGCCTGTGTCTGTGGAGCTGAGCTGTGGTGCTGGTCCGGTCCATGTGGTTCTGGAGCCTGATCACCCTCTGCTGCTGGACTGCCACCTGGGGGCCAGTGAGCCCCCCCTCAACGTGACCTGGCTGCGGGATGGAGCGGTGCTCTCTGAGAGCCAGGCCATCCGACCTTTGCCCAACGGATCCCTGCTTATCTCGCCATCCTCCACGGATGGCCAGGCTCCAGTGGGTGTGGAGGGTGGATACAGCTGTCTAAGTACCAGCTCGACAGGAGCCCTGACCAGCCGGGCTCTCTCCCTGCATCTCGCCAGTGAGTATGAACACTTTTTACTCAGATTCATCACCAACTTACAGCAGCTGTGAGTCAAAGACAGGTCAAAGAGCCAGATCATTTCAAACTTTAGAGGCTAGCCAATGTTTAGGCTTTCGGTTGTATTTATATCTGCATCATCTGTAAAGCATCACATTCCAATTACACATATCTTATAAACATCATAAACATCATCATCTTGTGCCCTGCACCTGTATGTAAGGAAATGGCTGTCTATATCAGCAGGTATCCAAGATGACATCATGACTTTTGCATAAACATACACGCCACTTTCAAGTGAAGAGGCATGTTATCTATACATTTTGCTATCCACGTGTATCCGCATGTATGCGTATATGTCTACACCATTAATGTCCGAGTGATTCTGCGTGTATGTACGCGCCGTTAAAGGCATACTCCACTTTTTTTTGGAAATAGGCTCATTTTTCCACTCCCCCAGATTTAAACAGTTGGGTTTTACCATTTTCGAATGTATTCAGACGATTTTTTTTTTATATTCAGGAGAATATCAGTAACCATACAGTTTCTGGTCCCATTGACTTCCATAGTATATTTTTTTCCTACTATGGAAGTCAATGAGACCAGAAACTGTCTGGTTACTGATATTCTTCTAAATATTCAGAAAATTGGCTGAATGGATTTGAAAACAGTAAAACTCAACAGTTTAACTCTGGGGGAGTGGTAAAATGAGCCTATTTCCAAAAAAAGTGGAGTATCCCTTTAAATGTCAGAGCGAAACAAAGCAAAATGTAGAGCTACATCTGGGAAGCGATATTCAATCAGTTATATTCGTCATTCAAAAATAGGAAACCGAAACTAGGACTGCAGATATATAAACCATAAACAAAGAAGCGTTTGCTTACCATTTTGATTATTAATCATGCAGATCACTTTCCTCATTCCACAAGTTGAAAATATTAGCGTATTGGAATAAGATGTAACATTAGAACACCATTCAGTCTGTGCCGTCTTCACTTCTTTGATTGCTTTCATTACTTTCTCTTTTATTCTCGTGCACCCACTCGTTCACTTAACTGAACAGCCAATCAGAGCAATCTCTCACCGACAGCTCCCACCGACTAGAGACAACGTGTGGGAAAAAGTAGCACAACGGACGCTCACTGATGGCCCGACGTTGTCTGACGAAAAGAGTCAGACCTTTTAAAAGAGTAAATGCAATCAAAACATTTTGAAAAGTATTATTGTTATATTATATTAATTCCTAGATGCATACCATCCTCTCTCTTTGTCTCTCTCTCTGTGCCACATTCTACATGGTGGTTGTCTTTGTCTCAGCTGGAGCTGAGTGTTGTTCTCACCTGGTTAGCACAAGGATTCGATTGTTTACTGAAGAGCCCGAAAAGGGGGAAAGAGATCAGACTTCAGCCCTTTTATCTCTTTTCTTTTCTTTTTCTTTCTTTCTTTTTGTGTTTGAGGCAGCCCACTAGTCGATAAAGACCATTTCCTTCAGTCATAATCCTACTAAAAGAAACAATGTGAAGTTGATATTTTAGTCACTGGCTTGACTTACTCATGCATAAACAGTATTGAACGATTTTGAGTGTACTGGTAGCTCAATCCGAGGCCAGCTCTTTAGCCCAAGTTGAGGAAACAGTCGTCAGTGAAATGTTTGTTATTTCCAGAGGAAATAAAATTAACCCATTGTTTCTTCAGAGGCTCGGATGAAGGAACTAAAAAATACTTTACCGAACACTGATCAACGGCCATACTTCGGCTGGGCAGTTCCTCCTGTCATTGAACATGGGCTGGCATATGCAAATGTTTGGAGTCGTACAGTACATATTAATGATCCCGACTGTTGCGTCACAGTCGGTTTTATGTGGAGATTCGCCTGTTTTTCAGGGGTGTTTTTCGAAAAACGAGATTTAAGTAATAAGGATAAAACAATGGTGTTTTGAGACTTACTGTATGTACATACAGTAAGTCTCAAACACCATTGTTTTATCTTTATTACTTAAACCTCGTTTTTGAAAAACTCTTGTTATTTAACTCTTGTTATTTAACTCTGAACTCTTGTTATTTAACTATGCCTAAATAAATTCAATTTCACATTCTAGGGCACCTTTAAAACAAAAAGGGTCACAAACAGTAGTTCCTGAATTTTTATAATTGTTATTCCTCCTTTAATTTTCTTGGTGTTTTTTATTTGTTGTGGAAGCAATTGTGGTGGGAAACTGGATACGGATATTAGAGATTGAATATGTGGCCACATAAATAGCCACATATTACATGGTTTTGATTTATCCCGGTTATTATCGGTCATCTGACTTACCATGTTAATTGTCTTATTCCTTTGGTAGTGACAGTGGCAGAATTAAGGGGTCATCATTTAAATAGTTTTGTCTCCATATGCTACTTTTTTTGGTTCTGAAGTGCCATTTTCTCTCAGTGGCTGAATATTTCTCATTATTTTTGAAAACCGTTAAGTTCAGATGCTCACACCTACACATAACCATGCTACTGGTGTGTGCTCCAGTAAATATCCCATGTTTTTTTGTAAAGTGTGTTTGCTTTAGACGCATGCTGTGTATAAGTCAAAAATATCTAGTGTTAATGTTTAACTGGTCTCTGCCAAGCAGGCTGCACTGCATACCCCCGTACACACACACACACACACACATGCAGAGTTGTTATGAACGACGCTATGATTCATGCGTGAGCTTGTTTAGGAATTTTTTGATTTTAACTTTTTATGCATCAGTTTTTTCTGGTTCTCGAATCTGATTGGTTGAGAGCCTTTTTTCAGCCATACAGTATTTGCACAGTAACAGCACTCTATATTATATATATATATATATATATACTGTATATATATTGTATTATATATTATAGAGTCTGTAGCCTAGTGCCATCTTCTGAAAAGGAAAAAACAGGACAATTGTGGTTCTTTATTGGAAAATAAGGGACACTCAAAATATTATATCTTTAGGCTATCACATACATTTTAGTGTTTGCAGTGTGTGTAAAGGTTCTCAAACACATTTGTTTTGTGTAACCTATTTATGTATAATTTAATTCTTAAAAGAATCATACATACAAAATGTCACATTACACAAACCATTGTTCAAAATAATAGTATTTATCTGAAATCTGAAAGTTTTTTTTTTACATTATACACTACATATCAAAAGTGTGAGATCAGTAAGATTTTTTTTTTTTTTTTTTACGGTAGGGGTGCACGAATATTACATTTGTAAGATCTGTAATTTATTATTCTAAAAATAAAATGCTGTTCGAATTTTACTTGTTTGCTTTGCTGGACGTAAATGCAGTAAATCCGTGATAAATGGCAAGCAAATTCCCAAAGATTTTTAAGTTCAGAGAAATTCCAATTTGGCTCGCCCTGTTCACTTGTCGCCTGTCAATGAACTTGAACTTGACTGTCGCCGAACACAATGTGACAGAGACACAGCTCTTGCATGTACTTTATTAGACAGGTGAGAAAATGTACATAAAACTAATCAATGTTATATAGCCTAACATGAAATATTAGAATATGATCAGTATGTTATTCTAATGTTGATATAGCTTACTGCTAGTCTCATACAGATAAACTAACACATATAACAATATTATAACTTTCAACACACTCAAATGCAGCACTACCTCACAAGTTTCATTCATCTAATAAACTGACCTGAGTGAGTAGTAATTTAGCACTTGTGGGTAGTTCGGTAGAATTAAATGTCCTTATTCCTTTATGACTCTCATGTGTTGCTGATATCTGTCTCTCATTAGCAATCTTGCCATGCTTCATCATACTACAGTCAAAAACATCATTGTATTTACTCATCCATAAACATTATTTGAGATCCATCAGAATGACGACAAGTTCCATAGTTCGATCCGCTTATGCATCATCAACCTACGCCTTTGTTATTGTAAGAGGTTAGCAACCCCTTGCGGCGAAAAAAAATTATATATATTGTAGCCTTAACCTCATTTAAATAAACAAATATTAGAATATTTGATTCTTATGAGCCCAAATATTGTAGTACAATAATTTTGAAAAATGCCCATCCCTAATTTACGGATATTTACGGCGAGTGGCACACATTTACCATGCAAACCATAGCGCTACTGTAGGTCTAAATACCATAGAGTCATGGTAAGACAAAAACATGTATTGACTCATTATTTACATTTTGTTAATTTTGAACTAAACAAAGTTACATGGTCTATATTTAATGTGAATTTAGAAATATACTATTGTTCATTGTTAATTCACAATTGTCCATAATACACACAAAATTCATTCACAAATTGTATAAATGATCAGTTGAGTTACACCAAGAAATGAACATTAACCATTAGTCAATAATAAGTTTTTTCTGGCTTGTTCTATGTGCGAGTTATTCTGTGGGCTTATGAGCAATGCGAGTCTGGCAGATGTAGCTGATCAAAGTGAGAGTATTTTCAAAGCTCAGAGGCACTGGAGCAGAGGTCAGGGGCCCCGCTCTCTTTACTCCCACCATGTGGCTACATTTTAATGAAAAGTGAATGTAATGCATTCACTGATTCACTTTTTTTTTCTTGTTGCTTCCTGCTCCTATCCTCTTGTCCATACTCTGCTCCCTCTGTCTTCCTCAGGCTTGTCCCGTTTTCTTCAGGATCCTGAGCCTCAGGTTGTGCCTGTAGGTGGCACTGCCCGGTTTGAGTGCTATGCAGATGGCTTGCCCACTCCAAGTATCACCTGGGAGAAGGACCAGGCACCTCTACCTGCACCTACAGACCCTCTAGACCCACCCAGGTAAGTTATCTTGGCATAAGTTTTGGAGTGTAAAATTCCCTTTCTGTAATACTTTATTCAAGTATGACAATGTTTGCACTAAGGACCCCACGTGAAGCACAAAGGCTAGTCCAACATTTTAGCTCAATTAGACTTATTGGAAAAAAATACAGATATTATTAATAATACATTACCTTAGGGGTGTGCGATTATATATCATTTGTGATTAATATCGTAATTGTTGTTTTTAATGTTTTGCGATTTGACATTATTGAGTAGCCCATAGTCTATCCCTCACACACACCCAGAGAGAGCATGCATATGTGATGTAGTCTTGTAGATTAGACCAGTGCGGGAGCGCGTTTAGAGTGCACGCTTTTACGTGATTTTGTCTTGATTTATATAATTTATTAAAAAATATCACTAGAGTGTTGTTTTTCTGAAAATATCAGTATAATAACAAATGTGATATTGATTGTATACAAGTTTAATAAACAAGAAGTGATTAAGTAACTTACATTTTAGACACCATATTGCCTGTTTTTGCTATATTTCGCCAACGAAAATAGTTTAAAACAAAGCCACACACTGCGTTATTTTCTTACTGAGTGAATCAGCTTTTTGAATGAATCAGTTGATTAGGATAGATTAAGATAGTCAAAAGGCTTGTTCGACATGAACCAGCGCTCCACAGACCGGAAATGTGTATATATATATGCAAAAATATATGCAATTGTGTGTATTTATATATACAAAATAATTATACACAGTACACACACATATATTATGTAAACCCAAACTTTTATTTTGGATGCGATTAATCACGATTGCCAGGGTAGTCACGGTTCTTTAACATTTGAAAGTGTGTGTATGTTACATTTGCTTTTGCAATTCGTCAAGTTACAGCAGGAAAGTCTGCACATGAGAATCCCATCAGAGGTCAAAGAGTTGGGAATGGGCCTCATCAAAGAGGTGGGCATCAGAGGGAGGGAGGCAGAGGGTAGGGAACTGTTGCATCAAATGAAGTCCGGATCATCGGTTTAAAGTATGTCATGTCATGTGATGAACAGAGGGCTTACTATGGCAGAGGCTCCCAATTTTTTACAGTCACCCCATTTGAAAAGGTCAACAACAGAATATGTAAGAAATTGCAAAAATTTTGATGGCTATGCTGCACAGTAATCATGTAAAGTATTGATAGTTTACTCTACTGTCCAAGTTGGCTCAAAAACCTGTTTGATTTTTTTTTTTGTATGATTATGATGTTTTCTTTGTTCTCTGTCTTGGTCAGTGACCAAGTGCGTTGAGGGGCCACCTGATGAAGTCATTTATAGATTAATGCTTAATTAATGGTGACTACTGTATTGGACAGACACCAAAATAGACCAATCACAGCTCATAGCACAAAAATTCTGTTAATCAAATACAGAAGTTTTCATTTCATGATCATGATGTTATTAATCAAAAAACATCATGATCATGCGTAATAAATCATAATTCATGATGATGTGCTCATCTTAGTTAATGTTTTAATTCAGGTGTTGTTCATTCATGAAGTCATGAACGAAAAACTTTGAACTTGTGTTAGTTCCTTTATGATTCATGAGATATTAATGCATGAATGAATGATTAATTCATGCATTAATTTATACATGAATTCATGATAATTGTGAACCCTTACCGTAAAGTGTTACCTATTTTTTCAGGTTGATTTCATTTAGCTGGGTGTAGCTAGGTTTGCTGAATATACAGTCTAGATATTATTGCATGTTACCTTGCAACTTAGGGTTTCCCAATAAATTATATAATTGTGTAATATAATCCTGATTTTATTGGATTAGCATAAAGGGCATTTAGCTACTGTTTCAGGAGCAAAACATGCAATGTTTCAGAAAGCTGGTGAGATTTCTCTATTTATGTTTAATTTGTATTCTCAGTCTCTACTGTCTCCTGATCCTGTTTTTCTCTTCTTCTTTTTTTGAACAGCCATTTTTGAACTTGATAGCAAGAGTGTCTTTTCTGCATGTGTCTCTTGTTCTCTTCTCTTTCTATTGCACACACACACGTATAAGCACATAAAAACACTTGCACATAGAGAGATGTAGGTGTGCAGCATACACTTGAAACACACATTCTCACTATACAAATAAATGTAAATTGAATTGAACTGAATTATAATCACAGCCTTGTTCAGACTGAGTATGATAAGGTGCTATAAGAACATAGTCATGTCAAGTGTTATTACCCATCCTGGTATCCTTGGGAACCATTTCAGTTTTTAAAATCAATCTTTGATATCTTTTGTGTTAACATGTAAAGCAATTCACCACATATAGATATCCAGCCACATCATAATATTATTATTATTTTGCATCAGGTTTATTATACTTACTGTTTGCCAACTTATTGTTAAGGTAAGTATTAGATAATTTATCCATTAATGTAGGATTATGCAGTGTGAAAAGGAAATACTTTCGAAATGTCAAAAAAAGACAGAGCATTTGATTTAAAATGTCTCCTGATTGCATCATTGGGATATTTCGTCATCTGCTGTCAGTAAGTCATGACAGTAGCTGTGTTGTCGACATGTCGAGAAGACACTGTTTTCAGCACTGTGAATACACTTTGCCTGCACTTCAGAAGAATGAGAACTCGCACTGGAATTGATGGAGTAAACTCGGTAAGAGTTTTAGATGCATTTGAGCTTTGGTTACTTGCAGAGTGCTGGTTTGTCTCAACAGAGTGAGATTGTCTGCGTTTTTTGAAATAGGGTGGAGGTCTGCCTCTGCCCAGTGACCAGCACTTGGCCTGTTTTGTGAGGAATTACAGAATCTGTTCAGTTTTCCACAGTTTGGCTTTCTGAATTCTTCTACAAATGGAGGATTTTCATGACATTCTAACACAGCTACCTCACAATGCATTTGTTTGCGCGACTCAATTCTTGTTGCCCCAGCTAACAACACCTTTGAATGTATTTTGTGCTGGAGAAGCACCATACGTGAGCGATTGCTGTACATGCGGCCCTGCATTTGTAAGCAGTAATTCAAGGAGAGTTACATTGTTTTGGTTAACAACTTAAATTCCAGAATACTCCTCAAAAAGTTCACACATATTTCCTCAGTACTCTATTTCTGATTGAAAATCAATTCCAATCCAATGGGACTACAACCACGCAGATCACACAGGCATTGTTTTAGTCTATTAAAGATTTCACTCTCAGGCTCATTTTAATACATTGACTGTACAACGGTGCCTGTCATCAAAACCTACCCCAGGAGGGAAATAATTGATTTTGAATATTTTCAACATTGTGTGGTTGTGTGTTTCATATTATTTTTGCATGCATGTATAGGCAACACCAAAGCATGCGAGTAAAGCGGAGCAGGGTGACGCCTAATTTAAGTTAAAAAAAAAAAACTTAAACATACGTTTCATAGGCTATATGTTTAAATAATATAATTTTTTTGATTAGCTATATGAAAAGGGAACCACATGAGATGAGTAAGGATCATAAGATGCCCAATAGCCTATATCGAAAACATTTGGAATTGGTCAGACATAATTTTTTCCACTTATTAAGTTTTGTTTTGTAGAAAGCCTTTCCTTAAATCGAATTTTGTTTTGAATAAATTTTTATCTTAATTTTTATCAATGTTATATCAACAAATTGCCTATCCAGCTGGTTAAATCTAAATAAAAAGCAAATAAAAGTAGACAATATAATTACGACACGGAGAACTGAAATAAAAACTTGACAGAAAACACTATTTATTAATACAAAATTCAAATGTTTAATGCATAATAAGTCCGGTTACTTTACCTTACTTTGTCCGTTTCTTTGTGGCAAGGTTTTAGCTCTTTTACAAGATTAGCATAGTACTCCCCTTCAGACTCTCTGTTCTTTAAGATTGGGTGCACACAAAACCTTTTTTTCTGTCTGAGAATGAAAAGCTCGTCTTCACTGGATGATGATGATGATGATGATGATGAAGTGTCCATGTTTTCTCAGCTGTCGGCATGAAGGATTTGGAATGTTGAAGTTCTGAACATTGTAAATTCGCGTCGCGGCTGATGTGAATGGTTTTGACGCGAACTATTCACACACAAACTATTCGCTTTTTCGTTTCGCTTTTTCGTTTCACTTTTTCGTTACGCGTCCGGTGTGAAAGGGCCTTTACTCCTGCGAAAGACATCCTGGGATTTTTGGTGACCACAGAAAGTCCGGCCCTCGGTTTAACGTCTCATGCGAAGGAACATTATAATCTTACCAACCCCAAACAACTTTTGAACAGTAGTGTATGTACACTGTAAACTTTTTAATTAAATAAAATGTTACATTTCATTTGGGGCTTGGAATGGAACCAACAGCTAAACAGATGTGTTTACTCTCAGCCATCTGTTTAACACATTTAATCATTAGATGTAAGATTGTGAATTAAGGTTGTATGTACAGTAAACGTACTGGACAGAAGTAGAAGTTCTAGTAGTCTTGATAAGTTTGTCACTGCATTTACGCATCTCTTACAGCTTATTTTTGCTCTAGCAGTTTGATAATTACAAATGAGAACAAACTTTAAAAAGGATACAGATTTGGAGACGTGCATCTCATTCCATTTGCATCAGACTCTTCCTTTTGTATCCGTAAAAAAAGTGTCTTTTGTATTCACAGCCCCTCTCCATATTAATGAGAACACACTTGCACATTAGCCGTGCATTAATACCCGCTGTCGTGTTCTGGCGGCTGCTGCAGTCGCTCTCTCATTTACATCCCGAGCGCAGCTGAGGCGGTGCCATGTCACTGGAGGTGTAGCTCTGGTGTGGACGTGTCCTCGTCTGAACTCTCGCAGCCTCAATGAATTCTGATCTCTAAAATGCACCCGGTTTCAACCCGCTTGCACTCACAGATGGACAAATTCACCTAACCTTGGTCTTTGTGGCCTTTCTGCCAGAGTGTCTTGCTCTTGGGGATAAGTCTACAAGATTAATGGTGTACAATATCTGGCCTGAATGAAAAGAGGATTTGAAAGCGGTCTCTTGGGGAGAAAGATGACTATAGAATGAATATTAGTGCTGCAACCTGACCTCACCACTGCAAACAAAGAGCGGAAGAGAGAAATTGACTTTTGTAGATACAAGTTGCCATTTTGGACTGTTATCCTACATCTATAGACTAAAATCTGTTTCTTCTACTTTTCTCTGCAGTTTATTTTTCCATTTTTCACTCCCCCACAATGTTATTTCTTCAGTATGGTTTGTGTATATTGCTGCTTTATATGTTGTTCTCTGAGTTGGTTGGCGCTTAAATAGCAGATATCTAGTCTCCTAAAGCTTAAAAGAAGCTTCAATTTAGTATTATACAAACCCTCACACATTGACACAACCATACGGTTGATATAGAAATGCTAATGCTAGTCTCATTCTTTCTCTTACAGGTACATATCTCTTCCTAATGGGGTGCTGCAGATTTTAGGAGTCTCTAAAGAAGATGAAGGCTTGTACCGTTGCATGGCCTTCAACTCTGCCCGCAAGCGCTTCAGCCAAGATGCTTCTCTCACAGTTAGCCCAGGTATAATACAAAAACCTGTTTCTAATTACTCCATCATAGATGGCTTTTCATTATTCGTGATCTGTTCACCTCACATAGTCTTGAGGCTCCATTCACCTCATCTCTCTGACTCACACAGTAATGGCCTTTTAGAGATTTACAAGAATTCATTAAACATTGGAATTATAGAGTTCCACTTAATAGTGCTAGTACTAATGCTAGTTATAACTTAGTTTTTCTGCCCTCTTTCTGACCCTTGGGATTAAGTAGTTTGTTTTTGTTGCGTTCCCCTCCAAGTACACTTTAAGAAAACAATCTTTAGGAAAACAGATCATGTTCTAGCACAAAATTACCAGTATGTTTTCCATTAAGTTTACAGACATTTAAATGCACTGCGTAATTCAAAATACGGGTAAAACACTTGTGCAAAAAATTAGATATGGGAAATTCCTGAATATTAAAGGGATAGTTCATCCAAAAATTACAATTATTTCTTCTGCTGACACAAAAGATGCTTTGAAGAATATTGGTTGAAATGAAAATTTTAGAAGCATGGCAGTGACATTTTATTCATTTTTTACTTGTTGATAGGCGTGATAATATCCATCCTATTTTCTCCCATTCCACTTAAAGGAGAACTCTGGTCAATTTTAACATTGAGCTATTTTTTTTGGACATTTGGAGTGCTGTCCGTACAGACAAAAATGACAAAAATTGGTGTTGCCTACACCATGTTATCGTCTTTTTAAAATTTGCACCCTGTTGACTTCAATGGGGCATGTTCTAAACCTGCTTTTAGCCTCTTAACATCCTTGATTTGTCATTACGAGCACACAGCCATGTGAGTGGTGTTATTAAGAGTGACCACGGTCAATCTGACTGCAGTAGATGTGAAAGATATGAATAAAATGATGTTAATTCATTTGCTTCCTGTTTTCGGTCGAAGGCCACAGTAGTCGATTGTCGATCTCATGTATGCGATCATTAGTGAATATCATCTCAAACCTCCTCCGTGTGTTCAGCATCTGATTGGGATGTACTATCCATTTGAGCTGATATTCTCAGAACACCACATAGTCGTAGGTTTGAGATGATATTCACCAATGAACGCGCGTGTGAACTCGACAATCTTCGACTGAAAACAGGAAGCAAATACAGGTATGTGAGCTGGCTGAATTAACATAATTTTTATTCATATCTTTCACATCTACTGCAGTCAGATTGACCGTGGTCACTCTTTATAACACCACATGGCTGTGCACTCGAAATGACAAATCAAGGATGTTAAGAGGCTAAAAGCAGGTTTAGAACATGCCCCATTGACTTCAAATAGGTGCGAATTTTAAAACGACGATAACACTGTGTAGGCAACACCGATTTTTGTCGTTTTTATCTGTACTGACAGCACTCCAAATGTACAAAAAAATAGCTCAATGTTAAAATTGACCGCAGTTCTCCTTTAAGTCTGATTCACACATCACTGTTTACGGGTCCAAGCGCTCAGATCACAAAAGAAAACAAATGTTGTTAATGTACACTTACGCTCTGCTGTAATACTTCCAAAATATCATGATCCTAATCTTTATCTCCATGACAATTATCTCCAGACAGTGATACATTTCTTCTGAATCATTAAAATGTTGGTGTCTGGGATGCCATGAGCCCAGAGACTGTCTGTTGAGATAATATTCTTACTTAAAACGGAGTGGAGCTCGTACCTCGAAAGAGTATTTGTTAAGTCATGATTTAACAAATGGATTATTTTACTGTGATGGACAGGCCAGATTTTTAAACACCATATGGTCCTAATGTGTAAAAAATAAGTGGTCATTGGTGCAAATTTATTCACCTTCCAGATGTCATACTAAAATGAAATGAGCTATTTTCCAGCTAAATTTGAATTTTCGGACTGTTTTGAATGAAAGTTAAAGAATATTTTCATAAGACTCATATATATTTTTATATCATAAGAACATTGGAAATATGATTCCTCATGATATCACCCCTTAAATTGTGAAACATATCTGTTTTATACTTCTATTTAAGTTTGAGTCTTACTTGAAGTAAAGTTCTGCAGTGGCCCTTTCAGTGTGTGTGTGTGTGTGTGTGTGTGTGTTTAAGTGCCCTCTGCAGAGGTGGTCTGTGTTGCAGGCTGAATTGATTTCCTGCTGTCCTTAAGGTTGCTCTGCTGATGAAATGGGTGAGCAAAAGGAGGGATGGAAGAGAAGAATGAGATGAGGAACAAAGACAGAAAAGGCTAGAGAGATAAAGAACTAAATGAAATAAAAGAGAGTGTGGGAAGACGAGGGAGATGGATTGGTAATGCTATGAAGTCAGTACTTATATCTTCATGCTGACCTTTGCTCATTTCCATTATGCTTCTGTGTTATCAGCCAGAGACCTTAATGATTTTCTCTCTCTCTCTGTGTGTGTGTGTGTGTGTCTCCATCTCACACGTTCATCTTTCAAGCCATCTTTCTAATTGTTTCAGATTCTTCTTACTGCTTCAGCTTCTTCTCTCTCTTTTTTGAACAACATTAAATGTCATGTGGAATGTGTCTGAGTCTGAGAGATAGAATGAGAAAAAGAGAGAAATTAAGAAAAATTAAGGAGAGATTGGGGGAAAGAAAGAGAACAATACAAGGAGGAGTAATAGAATGAGAGAAATAAAATGACAGAGACGAGTGGGTAGAGTTAAGGTTTTGTTGAAGTCATTTCAGTATGAATTCACACAATCTATAAATTCTTGTGAGGGCCAAAGATTTCCCTGTGCAAATTTTGCTCTGTGTTCAGTTGACTAACAGAAAGCTGCTTGATTTGGAAGTGGCTTCTGTGTGAGCTGTTCTTAATACATTGCTAAACTACTAACAATGGACCTTTTAGAGATAAAATAAGACAGATGGAATATCCATCCATCCATTTAATTATTATTTTTTTTTTGTCAATATGCATTAAAGTATGTCAAAATGCCAATCAAAAAATTAATTTGATGCCAAATGAAAGAAAGAGAAAGACAAAAACTAATTCTTAGAGATGGGCGTACAGCAACACTGGATGCCAAATATGTTTTAGCATGTGGCTAAATATGTATAAACTGTATCATCCCAGTATGTTATCTGTATCTTTTTTCACCATGGTGACCCTGTGTGTGTGTCTGTGTGTATGTAGACATCTTATGTAATGCTAATGGTCTTCAATGTTACATAAACACTTCAGTCGTTGTTCTTTGTGTTGTTTAACTTTAAAAAATGTAATTTCTGTACTCACTCACACTCATGTCTTTTGCAAACCCGTAAGACCTTTGTTCATCTTCGGAACACAAATCAAGATATTTTTGATGAAATAACCCTTTAAGTTATTAATATGTTGTTCTTTTTTTGCACATCTCCTCAGCTTTGCCAGTATTTAATATTTATAGTCTTGCCAATAAAACCATGCTGAATTGAATAACGAGAGACAGATTGAAAGAGAGCAATCTTCACCTTGAGGTAATCATAGTTTTGCTCTGTGAATGCAAAGCGTTTTTTGCCCCTGAGACCAGACAGCTCAAGTACACAGAAACAGTCATTGTGAAAGTGTATTTGATTCGCAAGTTGAAATGTGAGGCGGTTTGGCTCATCAGATAGTGTATGTTTTGTTACAAACTCACTTTATCTTGAATACTCACTTTATCACTTTATCTTTATTACTGTATTATTATCATTAAAAAAAGGCGCATGTCCACTGTAAACTGCTTTTACCTGGTGCAGCCTGTAGCCTCAGACAGAAATCTGACCCATTTTAAATCCCTGGGCTCTCATGCATATGTGATTGCTGCTGTATGTAATCAGAGGGATTAATTTATGACCGTCATACCGTATCCATAGCTGCACGCTTATGTTTTACTTCATTATGATCTGGGTGTGTCTACTGAATTCATGCTGGCTCTTCTTAGGCCACAGGAACAGGGCCTTTACCACTGAATGTATCATTTATAGCCAAGTCTAACTTTATTTATAAAGCATATTTAATACAAAGTTAACATAATGTGCTTTACAAAACTAATATATATATATATATACACTCACCTAAAGGATTATTAGGAACACCATACTAATACTGTGTTTGACCTCCTTTCGCCTTCAGAACTGCCTTAATTCTACGTGGCATTGATTCAGCAAGGTGCTGAAAGCATTCTTTAATAATGTTGGCCCATATTGATAGAATAGCATCTTGCAAGTTGATGGAGATTTGTGGGATGCACATCCAGGGCACAAAGCTCCCATTCCACCATATCCCAAAGATGCTCTATTGGGTTGAAATCTGGTGATTGTGGGGGCCATTACAGTGAACTCATTGTCATGTTCAAGAAACCAATTTGAAATGATTCAAGCTTTGTGACATGGTGCATTATCCTGCTGGAAGTAGCCATCAGAGGATGGGTACATGGTGGCCATAAAGGGATGGACATGGTCAGAAACAATGCTCAGGTAGTCTGTGGCATTTAAACGATGCCCAATTGGCACTAAGGGGCCTAAAGTGTGCCAAGAAAACATTACACCACCACCACCAGCCTGCACATTGGTAACAAGGCTTGATGGATCCATGTTCTCATTCTGTTTACGCCAAATTCTGGCTCTACCATCTGAATGTCTCAACAGAAATCGAGACTCATCAGACCAGGCAACATTTTTCCAGTCTTCAACTTTACAATTTTGGTGAGCTCTTGCAAATTGTAGCCTCTTTTTCCTATTTGTAGTGGAGATGAGTGGTACTTAGTGGGGTCTTCTGCTGTTGTGGCTTCACAAATGCTTTGCTGCATACCTCGGTTGTAATGAGTGGTTATTTCAGTCAAAGTTCTATCAGCTTGAATCAGTCGGCCCGTTCTCATCTCACCTCTAGCGTCAACAAGGCATTTTCGCCCACAGGACTGCCGCATATTGGATGTTTTTCCCTTTTCATACCATTCTTTATAAATTTTAGAAATGGTGTGTGTGAAAATCCCAGTAACTGAGCAGATTGTGAAACACTCAGACCGGCCCGTCAGGCACCAACAACAAATATGCCCTGCTCAAAATTGCTTAAATCACCTTTCTTTCCCATTCTGATTCTGCTGCCTAATCATTTTTTGTGGAAACCGTGCAATGCTACATTGTTTTCATGATTCTTTTATGTGTAGAATGTTTAAAAGAACAGCGTTTATTTAAAATTGAAATCTTTTGTTGCATTATAAATCCCTTTACAGTAAATTTGTTAGATTTAGTGCATCCTTGTCAAATTAAAGTATAATTTGTTTTATGTATTATTTATAATTTATTTATTTATGAGAGCTGCAACCCCAGGAAAAATGACTCTGAATTTTCTTTGGCTTCAAAGTTTACCTCTCTCCGTTTCATTACTCTTCCCTTCTCTCGCTTTATCTCTGTCTCTCTCACTTCTTGTGAGCAGAAGAGGAAACAGAATCCTCTGTTGGGATACTTGCTTCACCTAATGCTACTTTCACTCAAGCAAACCACTGTGCCTGATGGTGAAGGCTCTATCATGTACACACACTCATAGTCTGTGTCTGACATGTGTAGGTCTGTCTCAGGAGAGTGAGGTGGTGATTGTGGCTCCACCGCGGAACTCTACAGTGGTAATGGGTCGTCCAGCTGTGATGGAGTGCATGGCTCAGGGTGAGCCCAAACCCTTCGTGTCATGGAGCAGACAGGGTAAGATTTAAACACAAATATATTACACACATGCTTCCATCTCAGTTAGTTATTTATTAAAATGGTTACATTTTATTTCAATTGTCCACTTTAAACATCCTACTAACTAAGATATTTTATAACTACATGTCAACTAACTCTCATTAGAGTGTTAGACTATTATGTTTTGGTTAGAGTTAGGAAAATACTGTTAGTGGACATGTAGTTGCAAACTCACTTATAGTCAATAGAATGTATGTTGAGGGAGCATCAAAATAAAGTGTTAGCAGATATTAAGAAGACTGTCTACTAATACTCGAACGGTTAGTCATTTACACACAGATGCAAAGATTGTCTAAAGTGGACAATTAAAATAAAGTGTAACCATTAAAATATATAATACATTTTTTTCATGAATTTCTTTTGGGCTCGGTTTGGCTAGAGGACCCAAAACTAACCGGGTCAGGCAGTTTGATAGTAGAAGAGCCTGGTAGGTCCAAAACCTGGTGAAAAATCATTAAACAATAATTACTGTGCCCTTAAACCCCTGGTTGATTGGGAGGAAAAAAGTGCATTGTAGTTTTGAATAAAAGTGTCAGCTGAATAACCAAATTGTTGCCCACTGTGAACTTGGAGTGCCTACATAAAACAATGAAAATGAACCCCACATATCTGTGATTTATAGAATGAGCTTATATTGCTTTATAGAAATGTGTCTCTGCTGCAGCAGACACCCCAACTACCACACACACACACACACATCACCCTCACTGTTACTGCTTTCATCCAGGTTCACTATAGACCTCATTTTGTCCTCTTTCCTCCGCAGTGATGCCAAGGCTTTATAACTGAGAGCATTATTCTTATTAGGTTTCATAAAAAATTAACAAGATGTTGTAAATAGCAGAAGGTGTCTCTTTTTTTCTTTGTTTGAGTGCTAATATGGCAGCTGCAGACAGTCAGTGTCTAAGAATCGTTAATGCATGCCGTTCCTCCTCCAGTGCTGTACTGACCTCTGTCTGTTCACATTGCTCATTGCACACCAGTATGGGATATAACGCTGTGTTTTTGATGCACGTTTTTGGGATAATTCACTCAAAATGAAACCTATGTGATTGATGGGCCCTCATGTTGTTTCAGACAGACACACACAGACACGTACTTTCTTTCTGCCATGGTTCGCAAAAGGAAAATTTAGCTTTTGCATCCTTAATTGAAACTAAACCTTCGGCCGTGCATTCGTTGTAATCGAACGACGTGAGGGTGAGTAGGTGACAGAATTTTAATTTATTGGCAGAACTACTCCTTGTGTACAAAACAAAAGACTTGAATACCACATTACCGGTATCAGCTTCTCGGTACACTACCAACACACAGCTTTTTCAAGGGTGCTATTTCTGCTATGGACATACATACTTGAAGAATTGTCAATGTCTCAATGCTTTCTTGATTGATTTATTTCCCATTGTCTTTTTAATTTTGTATATTTTTTTGTTTATACATTTTGCATTCTTTTTACACAACCACTCCTTTGGGATGCATAGATGGGAAGCCTATAGCTACTGATGTGGTTGTCCTGGCAACCAACCTAGTGATTCCTGACACCCGCAGTCACCATGCTGGAGTGTATGTGTGTCGTGCCAACAAACCCAAGACCAGAGATTTCATCTCATCTCCAGCCGAACTTCGAGTACTGGGTAATTGTGTGTGTGGGTGTGTGTTTTCTTTTAACAGAACCTGCATATTCTGAATGAATACTGGATACATTACTGACTGAGGGGTTGTAGATATTGCAATGAAAAATAGTATTTATATTAACATTAACCCACATTAATAAATGTAAACCTAACGCTTTAATGTGAACAAACTGAACTGTGTCGTTCTTACTATATTTTTCCCCTGCTCGTATTCTGCCCAGCTCCACCAGTCATCCTCCAGCCCCCAGAGGCAGTGTCCCTGTCCCGGGGGAATACGGCTCGGTTTGTGTGTAATAGTTCTGGTGACCCTCCCCCTGCTCTGCGCTGGCTCAAGAATGGAGAACCGGTCCAGTCTAATGCCCGGGTTAAGACTCAGAACCCTGGAGTTCTTCTCATCAACCAGCTGCGGCTGGACGATGCGGGATACTACCAGTGTATTGCTGCCAACAGCCTGGGCACCGCCTGTGCCACTGCCAAGCTGTCCGTCATCGTGAGGGAGGGGCTGCCAAGCCCTCCTCGTCATGTGTCGGCCACACCCCACTCCAGCACCTCAGCATTGCTCACCTGGGACCCACCTGAACACAATAGTGACCAGATCATCGGCTTCTCAGTACACTACCAACGCACTGCAGGTGAGAGAGAGAGTCTGTTTCATAATTCAGAATGGGAAAAAAGAAATGCAATTCCATTACCATAGTAAGTAAATAATACATTCATAGCAATAATAGGTCTTTTTAGAAGTTCATTCAATATTTGGCCTTGACTATATATATATCAGTGGTGAGCGATGACTTCTTTAACCTGGTATGCTGGGCAGAGCGTAATTTGAAAAATGCACCTAGTGCAGATGCATTTATAATAAGTGAGATGCTCACATTCGCTCTAGACAGTGTTAGCTGCTCAGTGGCTGTTCATGACACAAAGCAACACAGTTAAAAGTATTTCTAAAATGCTGGACCTTTTATTAAAAAAAGTAGCCTGTATTTACCTGTTGAGGGTGATGTACCATCACAATTACAAACTTCACCTTTATATGGTACGGTGCTTCTGCTTAGGACACGCATCTAAATTAGAGACGACAAATAAGAAACACCATGGCAGGTGTCAATTTAAATGTATGCTGGAAGTGATTATTTTTTTATTAAGAGTTTAAAAAAAAGTATCATTATAAATATTAGTTGCCTGCTAAAGTAAAAAAAGTTAAATATAATTATAGTAGATATAATTATAATAAATTAAAATAGTATTTTAAGTATTCTTAAAGAAAAACTTACATAAACATATAAAAAAAAAACACATAGAGTATTAACAACCTCGGATAGTTATAGTTGGTATGTCTTTAACAGTTTTTGTAAAAAATAAATTTCCCTATGGAGAAAATGAAATAATATGAAAATTCAGTTTTTTTCATTTGATTTAATCTAGGTAGTATTCTATCAAATACAACATGATTTTCGTTGCCCAAGATCTGGCAGCAACAGCACATTTTTCTACAGCGAGCGGACAGCTTTCCCTGCGCATGAAATCCCCCATTTGCAAACCAATGAGAACGTGGGACAATGATGAGGATACATAACAAAGCATAGGCTCCAAAGCTGCCGTGGATCCGCTTACCCGAATCCCTCCAGTAACTGGGAGAGAAAATTACTGTCATTGGGAAAAATAAATATAACAGACAGTTACATACGTATTACAAACATTTTATCATGTAAGCTTTATGGTACACCTCAAACAAGGGAATTTATAGTAATTTATAGTGTTTATACTAATTAGTGAGTCCACGATAGGCTTGAGTATGCAGAACATTCGCAGCTTATATGGACCGCATTAGTACTAAACAAAAATGTGTTAACATTTTTCATTGATTATTATTTAGAAAATACAACTGACAAAATGCATAATGATTATCTTTATATAGACATTTTCAAACAGACAATAATTACATTAATTTACAGTAAGTCTGACAGTTGGTTGTAAGTTGTATGAAAAGAACCAGCTATTCTGTAATCAAAGGACACTGGTTGGGTTATACTGTACTTTCAGTAGTGCCGAATCTGACGATGTAGTGCTGCTTAATAAAAATGCTGGAATGCTTTATCTGTTCTAAAATATTCTGTAAGTTAAATATTCTAAAATAAAACTGGTTCTCGGTTCCCATCCCATTATTCTTAACTAAAACTGTTAACAATTATCCTCTTTAATTGAAATAAAAAAATGAAATAATAATTGAGAAAAGCACATAACACAATTACTAAAACAAATTAGAATTGAAACGAAAACTAAAAATATTAAAAGGTTCAATCAAAAAATATGAATAAATACTACGATAGTATATAAATAATACTAAAATAACACGTTAGAACAAAATTTGGATTTTTGGAAAATATGATCTTGTTCTCAAATTTTTCTAAACTTTGAGAGAAGCTTTCCTGTTTTGTTACTGGTGTCCCTGTTTGACCCTGCTGTGTTTCTCATTACACTGAGTGTAGCCAGCTTAAGTGGATCAGTCCACAGAGAAAAATCCTGTCTCATTACTTTGCAGAAGCCAATCCACTTCATAGATCGCTGCTGCACAGAACCACATAAGTAATGTTAGCTCCGGCTGTTATTGATGGGGTCCCACTTCTCATTTAGAAACTCATGACCAAAATACTAAGAAAAAAACAAATATTTTTTCCTCAGATCAATTGTTTTTTTTTTTTAAAAAAAGCAAATGTACTATGTCTGTGTTGTATACATTGTGTGTTTATAGGCTCAGACAACATGGAATATCAGTTTGCGGTGAATAACGACACCACAGAGCTGCATGTAAAGGAGCTGCTCCCTCACACAGCCTACACCTTCTATGTAGTGGCCTATTCGCCCATGGGGGCCAGCCGCCCGTCACAGCCCGTTACTGTGGAGATGCTAGAGGATGGTGAGCACTGACTTATGGGGAGAGGTCAGGTTTTCAATGTGATGATGAATGTTGACACATTTAAAAGTAGATATTTATAGACCTTATGTGCCAGAGAAACAAGCGTGCAGCCATCTTTAGAATATTGTCTTTGAACTTTCGTTTTTGGGGTTGCTCTGTATGTTTATATGACATTGCTGTCCAGGAGTAATTCGCGTTTGGCAAAGCCACGCCCTAGAATGTAGATTGACCAATCACATCGCAGCCAAGAACGAGCTTCCATAGAGGTCCGACACTTTTTCACAGAGCTCCATTGACTTACACAGGCGTCTCATATTTTTGGCCTCGGCAGGCTATTACAGTCGTAGTTTTAACAAAAATATGATTTAACATAGTGCCTGGGGGCATTTGTAACACAGATACACGTTTCCCAAAGAGGTTGGAGGGGGTGTCCGTTTTTTCCCTCCCATAACCGAAGTCAAATCCTGACAAGTGTAGTTTTTGGATTAAACTGAATGGACGTCCTCAGTCAGCTAAACCCCTCAAAGATCAACAAGCACATCTTTTTTGCTTCTAACCTTACTGTGAAGTTATGCTAGTTAGACCGTTTTATAATGTTTTAGGTTATGATTACGGTTCTCATACCAGTTGTTGATACGCTAGCACACGCTGCTAATAAATACAATGTTATACTAGTGTAGTCCGTTTGCTTTGTAATAACGATTATAGAAGTGAATAGAGACCTACCCAGCTTTGCATGAACAGTGTTGCTCCCTGATATTGTTAGTCCCAGCCTCCCTCTCGATTAGTAGGATATGCGATGGTTCGTTTTTTGACTGTGACCGGGTAACGTTATGCTTTTGCCTCTACTTGGATGCCTTGTTGTTTCTTGCGTTTCACCTGTATGTCTTGAATATAGCCTTCGAACGCATTTTGCCTACTTCTATCGGACACTTTATTTGCTGCTTTATAAAAGTTTGATAACATTTCAGCAGGAAGAGCTGTCACAGCATAAGCCATGTTGATACCAAACCAGAGCCCAAATGAAGTTTGACGGACATAGCAACAGTAACTAAGATTGGCGGGGCTTAGCCAAAGGTGAATTAGCTGGTGACGTGGATTTACTTAATGTAAAGTTAATGAAAATTATCATGAGGATTGTAATGTTTAAAGCAGATGTCTTAACAAATGTCAGTAGACCTGAAAGATTTTAAAATGAGCCATTCATTCATAAATACGTAAGATCGCTGTGAAAATACAGACCGGAAGACAAAAGACAACGAACACAGTGCTGAAAAGGGGCGGGGCTACATAAGTTCTATACTGTGTGCATAATATGCATGTTTTCTGCATGCATGGAACTTACAACTTACTACCACATATGACTTCTATATACTATGAATAATGCTGTATGCAATGTGCTAGACTTGACCTAGAATTTACATTGTGACTAATTATGATTTTTCTTTTTTTCTTTTTTTGCAACTTATGCACTATTCTTTGCCATTTTGTAGTATAAATAGTTTGAGGACTGTGTTCACACTGAAAATTCCAACAAGAAGTGCACTTCAAATGCCCGGTTGATGTACTTAACTGAAAAAAACAAAGTGTGGAATTATGGAAACTTCATGCACTGTTGCAGCCTTCCTTACATAATGGAATTTTCATTTGAGTGTATTTGCATAGTCCTTTTCACAACTCGTCAATGTAGCTTTACAGAAAATGCTTTATTGAATTTCTTCAGTGTTTCAATAGGAGGGGAGGGACCATTAGACTCCGATGCTGGGTTACAAAATAACCGTATAAAATGAATACACTAGACGCTGTAGTGCATAGTATTTGTGCATGGTGTATAGTTTGTCATTTGAGACAACTACTGTTTTGTAAATCTATGTTTGCTTTTTGTTCTCTGCAGTTCCCAGCGCTTCACCGCAGCTGTCCCTGCTGAGCACATCTCCCACTGACATGAGAGTCATGTGGCTGCCCCTCTCCTCACAGCTGAGCCGTGGAGCCATCACACGCTACCGCATTGACTACAGAGCGCTGGAGCAGGGTAAGACAGCGCCACCTATTAACCCCTGTGGTGTTGTTAGCCCTGGAAAGGTTTATTGAACCTTTGTTTTTTTATCGAAAAAGTTTGCGTTTTTGAGGTCATATTCTGAACAAAACTGAGGTGTTTTTTCCCCTCGTCAGAGGTCCAGACTGAACAAAAATATGCAATTTGATTTATATGGCTAAAAAGTAAGATTGTATTCATAGCTTGTAATGTAAATCAATGAGATCTTTTTAACAGTGTAGCAGACTACTTGAATAAAATACATATAAATATCAGTTGTCATTAATGCTTATTTTTATGACCAAAGCTCTGTAGTTTTAATTGTGGGGGGGGCTATTACATCTGCTAGGGGTAAGATGCAATAAACTAAAGAAAAAAATATATGACAGGCTTCCAGCAGGCCGTCAGATCAAAAGAACCCGAAAGACAAATACCAAAGGCGGCGAATACAATAAATGATCATTTAAAATGTATTGTGAATCACAAAAGTAAATAAAAATTAATCAGTTAGAACCCATGGCCCAAACGAAAATAATATAACAATAAAGTATAGTTCATTAACAAAACAAAAATGAATAGAGAAATAAATCAATAGAGTGGTATTCTAACAAACAAAACCCAATCTAATACAATTAAACAGCAACGTAATTAACCTAACACAAATAAAAGAAAATGAACTACAATAAAGCTTATCTAACTACGCTCATCAAAAACATAGAATAAATAAGTTCCAAACAAAAGAGCAGGTCTCTCCTACATTACCACCTTCTGAAAGAAAGAACACACAACCGAAAGAAACATCGACCGATGACCGATGTTCCTCAAAAGCTTGGTTTATCATTTGATACTCACATTTAAACATGATTTTTCAACAACAACAAAACATTTATGGATCAAGGAAACCAAGTAGCTTCAATCTAGTAAGTGTTTATCTTAAAATATTACTAATAATATACTGTAAAAGTGATTACCTGTGTTTACAATCAGACTGTAGTAGATTGTGTATGGTTTTCGAGCAAAGCTTGTGAGTATATCAAATATGATAAATGATCTTAACCCTATGTAACCAACTTTATAATATTAGTATCACACACTGTAGTGTGTGTGAGGTTTTGCCTTGACACATGTTGATAAATTCATGTTGGCTGCTGAATCTGTAGCTTTGTGCATTTACTGTATCTGCAGTCACTAGGAGTGCAGCATGCATGTCTGGGGTATTTTGAGCTGAATGGCAAAGGCATGGCTGATTGCCTCTGCTCTATTAAAGCTCTGGATGCTTAATGAACAGTAATAAAGGTGGAACAATAGACAGATTTGGTCTGATGGCCTGTGACACAGAATGAGAGACAGAACCAAAGTCATTTCAGGCATCCATTGTTCATGCTTTTTTATCAGCCAGCTGCAGAAATGATTTCCACTGGAATACTTATTTTCTGGCACATGTACGTATGTGTGCCCTGCAGTGGATCGCATATACTCTGTGGAAGTGGGTGGGAATGAGACACAGGTGACTCTAAGGGATCTGAAACCAAATCAAACGTACCAGCTCCGGATTGCGGCGGGAACGCGAGCTGGGTTCAGCCAGCCTTCTGAGTGGGCCTCGCATCACACACCAAACCTTACTCAGGGTGAGTAAACATAAAAATACACTCATTCGCAAATGCACTAGATACCAGATTCAACTTAACTCATGGTTAAACTTGTATGCAGTGGCGCTTCCAATGGGTGGCCGGGGGCCATGGATCCCCCTAAAACAACATTGACCACTCCATTAGTCTCACAGTCACCAAGATGTATACATTTTTGTTTGCCTTAAGACTAAATAGTGAATTTAATGTTTACATGTCTTATTAGACATGGGCCAAATACTTTAATTACTGTTTATGTTCATGAAAGTGAACTACTCCTTTAAATACAAGGTTTTACATAGACGACTGTTCAAGGTTTAGGTTCGGCTTATGCTCACAAAGGCTAATGGGTCATTTTTTTTCACAGTAAAATTGTGAAATATGATTACAAAATTAAAATTGTAATGTATTCCTGTGACGTCAAAGCTGAATTTTCAACATTATTCAAGTGTTCGGTGTCACATGATCCTTCAGAAATCAAAAACATTTCTTATTATTATTATCAGTGTTGTATAATCACAGTTGTGCTGCTTAATATTTTTGTGGAACACATGATACATTTTTAAGGATTAATAGAGAGTTTAAAAGAACAGCATTTATTTAAGATTTAAATGTTCGTAACATTATAAATGTCTTTACTGTCACTTTAATGTGTCTTTACTGAATATATTTTTTGAATTTTTAAATCATCCTGTCCTTCTTTTGAACGACAGATGTGATGATTTATTATTAGCATAAAATCTGCTGTGATCAATCTGTATCTTCTGATCAATCCATAGCCATTTTGTCATCGACCAATATTGTCTTAATTTTGTCTCACAAAATTAGACCATGTCAATTATATTTAACCAGAATTATTTGCTTCTGTTTTCTTTCCCTATTGGCCCTTCTTAAAGCTAAAATGAGAAAACAAATTAATTGTGGCAGTGGGATAAGCTTGTAGGCTTCTTTTTGGTTGTTTAAAATTCAAGTTTAATTTGTTTGCAATTTCTGTGTCCCCCATAAAGAATGTCCTGGAGGTGCCTCTGCTTATGTACAAGCCCTGCTCTAGAGTGCACACAAAATACACATCGCTGTTCTCACTAACTCCCTCTGTTGTTTTTTTTCCAGTGCTCTTTGCTCCCACCGAGCTCAAAGTGAGAGCCAAAATGCTTTCCCTCCATGTCACATGGCAACCACCACCCAATCACACTCAGATAACAGGCTACAAGCTTTCCTGGTGGGAGGTGGATGGAGACGAGCTGACCAATGAGGAGAAGCCTGTAATCAATAAGAGGGTTCAGCAGATCAAACTGAGGAAGAGAGTTAAACACCATGAGGTCACAGGCCTTGGTGAGAGTTGAGCGGTAACTTTATTCACAATTATCCTATACTCTCACATAAAAATAGAATTGAATATTATATAAAAGACACTTTTACTAAGCTGCGCATATTTTCCAAATTCAAGGACTGTGTTCGTGGTACTGATTTTCTGTCACTATCAGCAGTTATAAAAGTTAATTGAAACTAAAACCATTTTTTTGTTGCATGAATTCAAATAAATGTTAACTGAAATAAAATAATTTTTTATAAAAAAACATAAACTTATTTTATTTCAGCTGGTTTCAAAGGCAACATTTCTTTTATTTACAGTAGTTTAACTCAATAAAAAATGATATAGACGTAAAGGTTTAGTAATTTTGTTGTTTTGACATTTTTTTTAACTAAAATGAAAAATATTCATAAAAACTATAATAGTATATCAATAATACTAAAATAACACTGGTAACAAAATAACACACAATATGACCATTTGTGATTGTGTTTCAGCTCCTGATCGGCTGTATGAAGTGAAGGTTTGGGCTTTTAATAAACAGACTGAGGGTTATCCTGCTGTATGGAAGGGCAGAACAGAGAAGCTCACACAAGGTGTGTTTGGTTATGATTAGGAGACAATTATAGATAAAATCATATCTACCTGTCCTGTAGATTCAAATCTGACTACATTTGTGTGTGTATCATTTTCTTAGTGTGGAATCCAATCTCTCACCCACCGTTGCCGCCCATCAGCCTCAGAGCTCGTGCGAACAGTTCCACCTCTATCTGGCTCCGCTGGGAGAAACCGCACTTCAGCAATGTGCGAATCATCAACTACACAATACGCTGCAGCCCCGCAGGAATACGCAATGCATCGCTGGTCTCATACTATACCAGGTCTACCATGCATACACATAAAAATATTTATGTATAGACAGATTATAAACATTCATTTTGAAACAGAAGCACATATCCTTACATGCTTCTTTCTTACACACTCTTTCATCCAGCAATTATTTGCCAATATTTCGCCATTTAGAGACGGCATCAGTTTTAAAATCTATCATAAGTAAATAAATGAAATTTTTTCTTTTTTAATTAATTGAATAAAATTGTTTATGAATTTTAAGTAAATATTGTATCATTCTCTCTATATGATATATTCATATAGAGAGATATAGTGTGTGTGTGTGTGTGTGTGTATATATATATATATATATATATATATATATATATATATGAAGAGTTCAGATGCAAAAGCCTCTAAATGCCATTTAAAATTTTCTTCAAATGGCAATTTGAATTTGAAGAAAATTTCTCTCTATATGATATATTCATATAGAGAGATATAGTGTGTGTGTGTGTGTATATATATATATATATATATATATATATATGAAGAGTTCAGATGCAAAAGCCTCTAAATGCCATTTGAAATTTTCTTCTTGAATGATGATTTTTATCAAACTTGTATATTTAAGTTCAGTAATTTCACTTAAATAACAATTAATAGGTAATTATCATTGCCATTTAAGTGAAATCACTGAACTTAAATATACAAGCTTGATAAAAATGATCATTCTAGAAGAAAATTTCAAATGGCACTTAGAGGCTTTTGCATCTGAACTCTTCATATATATATATATATATATATATATATATATATTAGGGCTGTCAGTTAAACGTGTTTTTTTATCACTTGATCATCACTCTTTTTGGCCTAGCAAACTTTGTAGTTTTTTTTTTTTCACATGCTTTTGCAACAGAACGCGATCAAAGCGCAAGCGGAGAGCGGAAACAAAACAGCAAACACACTGCACACACTTGTTTGGACTTGCGAGCTCGCCAAATAGTAGGTTAACGTTACGTTTTGAGTGTGAGACGCCGAAATGGATGCCGACAAGATTCTGAATGGAAAGTTTACTTTTAAAAAGTTGCCAAATGGTCCCATTGACGACGAGACCCAAGTATTCTGTGTGTTTTGTCGAACTGAGCTATCATCATCGCAGGACGTCCAGTCTGAAACACCACTTGATGATGGCCAAGCACACACACACACACACACACACACACACAGCTGATGCGAATTCTCCGCCCCCTCGTCAATATCAGGACCTCGTCAGTATTTCTTTCACCTTTTTATTGATGGACAGTGTTACATTGTCTGAGAGATTATTTGCTCCAAGTGAGAATGTTAGTGTGAAACTGAAACAAATTTGAATGGTTGTGTATCAGCCACACTTCTCTCTAAATATTTTTCTTCACTGTCTTTCAGCTCTTCTCAGGAGATTTTACTGGGATCACTGAAGCCCTTCACTAGCTATGAAATCGCTGTGCAGTCAAACGGAGTTGATATTAGTGGCCCCTTCAGCAGCACTGTGGAAGAATACACACTTCCAGACAGTGAGTACAGCCCTTTTAGAATATGAAGATGAGTTTCATTTCTAGTTCACACTGTCATGTGTCTGTTTGTGTGTGAGTGAGAGCCTTAATTATTGTGTGTATACAAGTGTGTGTGTAGTTTTTTTTTTTTTTAAGTAGGAAGTGATGAATGAATGCGTATCTGTTAGTATACTATGATTGTGTGGGTCAATGTGAGTCGTTGTGTTTGCGTTAGGTTAACAGTTAGGGGATTAATGGGGAGAGGCGTAAGGAGATAATTGGCTTTAATTAAAAGCCCAGATGGAATTTCCCCTCTTGTTGGCAAAGAGTCTTTCAGCTTGTCAGTCAGTCTAGCCAAGTGATGGCAGGGAGGAGCACGTTGCCACAGCGATTTAGTGTCAGACTAACTGAGAGAAGTTATTATTATTTGTGTTAAAAAACAGAAATTATACTCACAGTATCTCCTTAAAACTCACAGACTGTTAATGCTATGTATGCCTGTTATAACATCATAAATATTTAAATGTGCTTTTCTTAGGAAACACTTTTTATACCACAGAAAAAAAAAATGCATTTTTTTTTTGTGATAGTTAGCGTTAGCAGCTAGCAAACAAGTCAAATTTAACCATTGTTTACACTTGACCATGTTATTCAAACTTATTTATTAAAGGGGTCATATGCACAACATGCACAAGCATCATATAATGATAAAAATCCATCCAGTGTTTTTGTTTTAACCTCCTTGTATGTTTCCCCTGTGTCACGGCCGGCTTACGAGCCGCGACAAAGAAGGAAATGACACGTAAGATTTAATGCAAAAGGAATAACATTTATTAAAGTAAAAATAAGAAAATAGATCAAAACGAGAACAAGACAATAACTAAAGCAACAAAAGAATGGCACGAGGGGAGAGCGCGCCCGTCACGACTGAAGGGAGCTGCTTTTATTTGCCGGCATCAGCTCTTAACACAGGTGAACACCATCAATCCATCATGACGTCACTCACTCCAACTCCAACCTACAAATCAAATGACAAAAACAACCAAACGACACAGCCTGAGCGAGCTGTCATCATAGTCTGTCATTGTTGATACGCTGGAGCAGAATGGCGTCTAAGCGATTGTGGTGTTCTGTTCTTGGGTGTAATAACGAACACAGCCATTTTGATGTTCCTAAATCCAAAACGCTGAAGATGCAGTGGCTGAGTTTTGTTTTTCGATTTTAAATGCGTGTTTTCATCGTAGGACCTTCCTCTCCTCCTGTGGATATGCAGTTGAGTGCACTGGACTCATTCTCTGTTCTGGTTAGCTGGCACCCTCCACTGGAGCCAAATGGAGTCATTTTGACCTACTGGATCTTCTACACTGGCAACATCAGCCATCCAGATCACCTGTGGATAAACCTTACACATGATGGTGAACCTAACACACACACACACCACACATGGTGTTGTACTTCATATGAGAATTGGTATTGCCTCTCTTATTAATCTCTCTCTCTGTCTCACTCTCTTCCCTCAGGTTCTGTCACCAATGCAGAAGTCCAGGGCCTGATGAGTGGGACTCGTTATTATTTTAAGATGGGGGCCTGCACTGAAATGGGGGTGGGACCATATTCACCTGTGAAGGATGTTTATACTCCGCCAAAGAAATATGGTGTGTCTGTTTTGTAAAACTTTTTTCACAAAATATTAAACAGCACAACTGATTTGCCATCACTGGTAAAATTACATTTTAAAATATATTCAAATTGAGTAGACGGTTACTTTAAATTGTCATAATATTTCAGTTTGCTGGATATTTCAAAAAAAATGCAGCCTTGGTGTAAGCATAAGTGCCTTTTAAAACATATTACCAACCCCAAACTTTTGAACAGTAGCTAGTGTATACAAGTTATTGTTTTATTTTATTTTTATTTTTTTTTACAGTGATCTTTCTTTTGTGTGTGTAAATGGAACTTTAGAGAGCAAATGAGAGAGAGTGAGCCATTTCGCAAACTACCTCAAAGATGTTCAGTGGAAATATAAAAGAATCATTCTCTCATTACTAGTTGAAACCTCTGAATGTTTGCCTTTGGTAGACACTTATACTGTACAGCACATTTATCTTACATTGTATTCATAGTATACGTTTTATTTGATCAAACCTATGAACTTGCAGTAGTCTTTGAGCTACAGAATTGCTTTGAACATTTGGCTTATATGTGAACATTTGCTATCAGAAAATGGAAGCTTTTGAAAATATCACTGAGTTGTGCTTATGTATCATTATGTGTACTGTATGTAATATTTGCTATTGGTTTGGCAATGTAAACCCATTGTTTATAATGGTAGCTGAGTCTCTCTCTCTTTCTCTCTCTCTCTCTCTCTCTGTGTGTGTGTGGACTGCCATCTGCCTCTGCCCATCACTGACACTCAATTAATAGCACTCCCACAGGGAGTGTGAAGTGATTCAGTCCAGCCTCATATACACACACTGTCTGTGGGGAGTTGGCCACAGAAATTCACACAGACTTGCATACACCAGTCCTATAATGACTTATAATTAATATAACACATTGTTTTATAATTAATATTTCAATATTATACTTAAGTATAATAGGTTTGTATTGAATTAATTTGGAATGTTTTTTATGTACAATTGCTTGATGAATCATTTCTACACTTCTATCATGCATTCTCTTTTTTTAACTCCTCTGCCTTTCTCTTTCTTTGTCTGATTTTTCCTCCTCCTCCTTCTCCCCTCTCTCTCTCTCTTTTCTCTATCACGTTCTTACAGAGCTGGACATCCATGCTGTGACTGGTATCATAGTTGGAGTGTGTCTTGGTCTGCTCTGCATCCTGTTCTGCTTGTGTGTCAGTTTCCGCAACGGAAAAACACGGTAGGCTACACACCTGTCCAAACTCTGTAAGATCCACAACACTTTCAGTTTACATAGCTCTGTTGATTATAAATTGTTCACCCAAAGTAAAAAAAAAATATAAATCTTTTTTTTTTCTGCGAACAAAAAAATATATTGTATGTTTCTTCTGCTTTTGTCATACAATGAACGTCAATGGCGTTTGAAACAACACTGGGCCAGTGTTGTAATTGTTAACTAAAAAGGTTTGGGCAATTGAAATAGAGCTGAAATAAAATAAATTATATACAGTATATTAAATGTAAAACTTATTTAGAAAAACAATTAGAAAGGTCACCTGGATAAAAACTGAAATGAGTTAGGATAAGTTAAAGTGCTAAAATTACTACAAAAAATAAAAAATGAAAATTAAACTGTACAGAAATATAAAAAAAATGACAAAAGCACTAGGGGTAACAATACCCTAATGTCACAATTCGATACATATCACGATACTGAACTCACCATACGATATTATTGCAATACTCCAAGTCATATGGGAAAATGTTAACAAGGTGACTTGGTGCTAGTAATCCAATGCACAGGACAATGATGACTCCAGAATAAAAAATTTCATGACTCTGAAGCTGAAAATACAGAATTATTTTAGATGAATATGCTTGCACTATAGATATATTCCCATCTTCTGTGAGCACTTAACATAAAAAAATAAATAATTTAAATCCTCTCTTGTCTTTTTTATGAGCAATGTTTGCACTTCTTGCGTTGTTATTGACTCTTCACGATGCCTCGTTTGGTTTAGTCCTCGGATGCAAGTCGCTTTGGATAAAAGCGTCTGCTAAATGACTAAATGTAAATGTATATATTCCAAATAATGTAGGCCACTTTTACTGTAACATCAGACATTTGGCATTATCAGGACCCACAAATATTCCCCCATTGCATTATTATTATTGTCACAGTGTCTAGATGTGTTCCCTTGTTTGTCCACTAGATGTCCTCCTTCCCCACTGTGTCATTCACTATCTGGAACTGCATTTCCCATCATCCTGTTCTGTCACTTTCTGATCATTGCACTCAGCTGTTCCCCGTAATCATTGTTCCCAGCTGTTCTGTGTTAGTCTTGTTAGACATGTGTATATATTCCCTGTCTGTGTTCGTATGTGTACGGAGTCGTTGTATTTTGTGTCACACCACTTCATGTCTATGTTAATTTCTAGTTCCTGCTGGTTTGTTTCTTGTTTTGGACTGCTTTGATTATTGACCCTTGCCTGGCTGACTTGGATTTGGATTATACTTAATAAATACTGCTTTTGGATTTACCCCAGTTTCCTGTGTGTGGATCGTGACAGAACGACTCCGTCACACCCTAAATCCAGCGGTATGTTTTCAAACTTCTCTTCCCCAGCCACTGAGCGGGAGAGGAGAGATTATTTTCATGGAACCCGTCTAGTCATTTTTCGTGGGACCCGGGGAGGACGCAGAGGAGGAGGTGGTCGAGAAGAAGTTCAACACCACTCTCCACCCTGGCCCCCCTTCGACCCTGGGCCAGTGAGGGACAGCTCAGAGCCAACATCTCACCGTCACAGACGGAGAAGTGGGAGGAAATGCACGTCTGCCCAGCGAGAGACTGTTCACGTCCCGTCTGCCCAGCGAGAGACTGTTCACGTCACATCTGCCCAGCGAGAGACTGTCCACGTCCCGTCGGCCCAGCGAGAGACTGTCCACGTCCCGTCGGCAAAGCAAGAGACTGTCCAGGTCTCGTCTGCCCAGCGAGAGACTGTTCACGTCCCGTCTGCCCAGCGAGAGACTGTTCATGTCCCGTCTGCCCAGCGAGAGACTGTTCACGTCTCGTCTGCCCAGCGAGAGACTGTTCACGTCCCGTCTGCCCGACGAAAGACTGATCAGGTCGTGGAGGGACCTGTCCCTGAGCCGGTGCCTGTCCCTGAGCCGGTGCCTGTCCCTGAGCCGGAGCCTTTCCCTAAGCCGGAGCCTTTCCCTGAGCCGGAGCCTTTCCCTGAGCCGGTGCCTTTCCCTGAGCCGGAGCCTTTCCCTGAGCCGGTGCGAGAGACTGTTCCTGAGCCGGTGCCTGTCCCTGAGCTGGTGCCTGTCCCTGAGCCGGTGCCTGTCCCTGAGCCGGTGCCTGTCCCTGAGCCGGTGCCTGTCCCTGAGCCGGTGCCTGTCCCTGAGCCGGTGCCTGTCCCTGTCCCTGAGCTGGAGCTCATGTTGGTTCAGGACCCAGCGTTTTTGTCTGTATTTGTGTCTGTTCTTGTGACTGTGTCTGTTTTAGTGTCAGTTCCTGAGCCGGCGCCTGTTCCCGAGCCGGAGCCGGTGCCTGTCCCTGAGCCGGTGCCTGTCCCTGAGCCGGTGCGAGAGACTGTCCCTGAGCCAGCACCTGTTCCCGAGCCGGAGGCAGAGCCAGCGCCGGTTCCCGAGCCGGAGGCAGAGCCAGCGCCGGTTCCTGAGCCGGAAGCAGAACCAATGCCTGTTCCTGAGCCGGAGACAGAGCCAGTGCCTGTTCCTGCGCCGGAGGCAGAGTCAGTGCCTGTTCCTGAGCCGGAGCCGGTGTCTGTGCCCTGGCCGCCCGAAAGGTCTGCTCCGCCCTGGCCACCCGAGGGGTCTTCACCGCCCTGGCCGCCCGAGGGGTCTTCACCGCCCTGGCCACCTGAAGGGTCTTCACCGCCCTGGCCGCCCGAGGGGTCTTCACCGCCCTGGCCGCCCGAGGGGTCTTCACCGCCCTGGCCGCCCGAGGGGTCTTTACCGCCCTGGCCACCTGAAGGGTCTTCACCGCCCTGGCCGCCCGAGGGGTCTTCACCGCCCTGGCCGCCCGAGGGGTCTTCACCGCCCTGGCCGCCCGAGGGGTCTTCACCGCCCTGGCCGCCCGAGGGGTCTTCACCGCCCTGGCCACCTGAAGGGTCTTCACCGCCCTGGCCGCCCGAGGGGTCTTCACCGCCCTGGCCGCCCGAGGGGTCTTCACCGCCCTGGCCGCCCGAGGGGTCTTCACCGCCCTGGCCGCCCGAGGGGTCTTCACCGCCCTGGCCGCCCGAGGGGTCTTCACCGCCCTGGCCGCCCGAGGGGTCTTCACCGCCCTGGCCGCCCGAGGGGTCTTCACCGCCCTGGCCGCCCGAAGGGTCTTCACCGCCCTGGCCGCCCGAGGGGTCTTCACCGCCCTGGCCGCCCGAGGGTCTTCACCGCCCTGGCCGCCCGAGGGGTCTTCACCGCCCTGGCCGCCCGAGGGGTCTTCACCGCCCTGGCCGCCCGAAGGGTCTTCACCGCCCTGGCCGCCCGAGGGGTCTTCACCGCCCTGGCCGCCCGAGGGGTCTTCACCGCCCTGGCCGCCCGAGGGGTCTTCACCGCCCTGGCCGCCCAAAGGGTCTTCACCGCCCTGGCCGCCCGAGGGGTCTTCACCGCCCTGGCCGCCCGAGGGGTCTGCACCGCCCTGGCCGCCTGATGGACTCTGTGTCTCGCCCTGGCCATCCGTTGGACACGGTGTCTCGCCCTGGTCCTCGGTTAAGCCCTCACCCCTTGTTCCCGTCTCCCTTCATGGACCTGGCCCACCATCCCTCCCCCTGATCCTCCACCATTCCACCTCTCTCCTGAACTCTCGTGTCATGTTTTTTAATGTTGTCGTGGAGCGTCTGGTAGCCGCTCCGTAGAGAGGGGGGTTATGTCACAGTGTGTAGATGTGTTCCCTTGTTTGTCCACTAGATGTCCTCCTTCCCCACTGTGTCATTCACTATCTGGATCTGCATTTCCCATCATCCTGTTCTGTCACTTTCTGATCATTGCACTCAGCTGTTCCCCGTAATCATTGTTCCCAGCTGTTCTGTGTTAGTCTTGTTAGACATGTGTATATATTCCCTGTCTGTGTTCGTATGTGTACGGAGTCGTTGTATTTTGTGTCACACCACTTCATGTCTATGTTAATTTCTAGTTCCTGCTGGTTTGTTTCTTGTTTTGGACTGCTTTGATTATTGACCCTTGCCTGGCTGACTTGGATTTGGATTATACTTAATAAATACTGCTTTTGGATTTACCCCAGTTTCCTGTGTGTGGATCGTGACAATTATACATTATATTCAACATTTATATAGTAGTTTAATTTAGTACTGACACTAAAACTCTGTAAACTTAAAACAAATTCTCACACAATCTTAATTTTCATTTTGGGTGAACTACACGATACAAATTGTCACTATCCATGATACGTATTGTTGTATTTTTGTATTGTGATATATTGTTACATCCCTAAAAAAGCACATAATTATTGAAAACTTGAATTAAAACAACAAAATTACTGAAACTTGAATTAAAATGGAAAAAAAATAATGATAATTATAAATATTGTAATAGTATATAAATAAAGTGTTATAAAATATTGTTGTTCATCACAGCATTATGGCTCATTTACTTTCATTGTATGGACTAAAAAACACAGAAACAGTGTGTTTATTTAATATTTTTTTAGATGAACTACCTAAAACAAAGAACAATGCTGCAACAATTACGGCTTAGGCAGAAATCTGTTTTCCCCAAACGATTTTAATGACAAACGAGCTGCAGCGAAAAACCTCCTCAAAATATATTCAAATTTAGAAAGTTTCAAGGACCTTTTGGATGTTACTTTAAACTAGAATGAGTCATGGGTGCATAACAACACTCAATCACACAGTGTGTGTGCCTGAAGCAGATGTGGCAGATGTGGAGTATTGAGAGCTGAATGACGGAGAGTCATGGCTGATTGCTCTTGCTCTATTAGAGCTCTGCAGGTCTAATGAACAACCACAGATGCAGATTGAGTCTGCTGGGCCTTTGCATTTAAAGAATGAGAGATCCATACTCATTTCACCTTCTTCTGAGATTTGTGGTCATTATTATTGGTTAACAGAGTCTGAATAGGGCATTGTGTCTCCATTATACATGTGTGACCTTTACATTTCTATGTATATTTTTCACATAAGTATACACTGACCTTAATGGTGGGAGATTTGACAAGCTGTGTGAGTCTGGGTTAATTTGCACTCATCAGACTCTTGGTTGGGGGTAGAATTGGTACCTCCAGCTGTGAAATTGAGACCAGGCTCTTTAGATAAAATGACTGCTTCTTTAATATTCACCATGTAATTGTATATAAAAGGGAAGGAGAAAAAGGGCGTGCTATATTTCTGAAAATAAGGAACATTGTGTATGTCTTTAACAATCAAACATTTCTTATTTATCTTTAAAGTCAATCTCAAAGCAGCAGTTAGGCATACACTGTTCCTTGATTGATACTGTAAACATACACTATTATCATTTCACAAGCAATTTAACATTTGATGAATTCAAAACATTAACAATCGAGATGTATTTGCTAACTTATTTTATTGATGGTATTATAAATGTTACGTCAGTCACAATTATGTTCTGTTAGTTTCACTTTCATTGACTTTTAATTTTTAGTTAGTCTCCAGTTTCCGGTTTTCTTTGTTCTAGTTTCCCACCATTCGTAAGTTACATTTACATTTACATTTATTCATTTAGCTGATGCTTTTATCCAAAGCGACTTACAACTGCTATATATGTCAGAGGTAGCACGCCTCTGGAGCAACTAGGGGTTAAGTGTCTTGCTCATGGACACATTGGTGTCTCTCAGTGGATTTGAACCCAGGTCTCTCACTCCAAAGGCATGTGTCTTGTCCACTGCGCCATCACCACCCCAGTTAGTTTCCATGGACACTCATTAATTAACACAGCTGTGTGTTATTAGTTCATCACCGTTGTGTATTTAAGTTCCGCCTTGTGCGCTACTTCCTCTTCATTCGTCTGGTATTGTTTGTGCTTGCACTTTGTTTCGTGTTTTGTCCATAATGTGCTTATTTGGTGCTCAATAAACATTTCTTATTACTATCAATGTTGAAAACATTTGTGCTGCTTAATATTTGTGAAGAAATCATGATACCAATTTTTCAGAAGTTTAAAAGAACAGTATTGTTTGACATATTTTTTGTAACTTTAAGTCACTTTTAAGTCATAAAACTTTTGGGTAACACTTAATGTAGTTAACAGTAGTTAACTACATTAGTTAACAAACTAATAATTTACTGCACTTCTACAGCATTTATTAATCGTTGTTAATGTTAATTTCAAAATTTACTAATACCTTAATAAAACCACAAGTTGTGTTAACAATGCACTGTAAACTAACATGAACTAACAATGGACAACTGTATTTTTGGTCAAACTAACATTAACTGAGATATGTTGCAACAAATGTATTGCTCATTGTTAGTTTATGTTAGTTAATACATTTACTAATTTTAACAAATGAAACCTTATTGTAAAGTGCTACCAGTTTTTGAATAGTATTCTATATACAAAATGTTCCCCCCTGAAACGTACTCTTTGTAAAATTGGGACGTATTTCCGAGTCTATGGTGCTACATAGTAGATCTATTTAAAAAGTAATGAGGAAAGGATTTTTAATTGTTTGTAAGGGTTATTAAAAATATTGGAAACCTTAAAGCATTATGAGCTCGGATTAAATGTCCATATATGTTACAAAATTCTTTCAAAAAGGTCATAAACATATTATGTACTTTTGGATATCTTCAGTGTTACCACTTGTTGCATGGTAAAATAAATGTCTCAGGACATGCATTCATTTGCTAAGGTCTTATAGAAGTGTAAATCACTAGCATTCAGTAAGCTTTATAAATAAAGACGTTTAGTGATTTTGAATGATCTTTCTCTCTGCCACTGTTAGGGATGTCTCTGGTGGACTTGACTCGAGTTCTTTGAGTCCTCAGTACAGGAAGGGTGCCCGTCCAGTGCCTGCTGCTGCGCCTGACTGCAGTGACTGCCATGAGCTGGAAACCCTCATGCCCTCTACTGCACAAGACCCCAACAGACCCCTCACAGAGCCCAGTGAGGAACAGAGTCTAATGGGTAATGTTGCAGGGACTGATGATGGCCTTTCAGAATCCAAGGTGAGCATTGCCAACATGGTGATATTGTGTAGTTAACTGTGCCAGCACCTACTGTACAACATTACAGTGAAGTGTACTATGGAACCATTTTCCCAAGTAGGACGTGTTCCTGAAGCATCATCCTTGTTGGTCTTGGAAGGAGGTTCATATCGCCTATGAGATTAGGTTTGGCTTATGGTTGGGATAGGACTGTGTTTCTTTGACAGGAATCTTCCAAACCCAACATAAGGTGTTGATCCAGGAGAATGGTTTCTTCTTTCAAGTATATTCAGTCTTTCAGTTTCTTCTTTCCATTCTAAACTCAGTCAGCCTGGAACGGATCCGTCAGTCGGAATTGGGCCAATAGGATCACTAGATACAGAGATACTATAACTGAGGATTCTTCGGCTCTCATCAATGGAGCTTTAGAGGGACCACCGTCAGAGTACAGTAAGGTGGGCCAAAGGAATATTAAGGAATATTTATATATGCTGATGTATGTGTGTGTGTGTGTGTCTTAAAAGCAGGCAGTATTACAGAAGTCGCATTACAGATCTTTATCTTATGAAATGCACATTATCCTTTATGAATGTGTGTGACGGGGGAGGGGGTGATAGATTGTGCCTCATGCAGCAGGAAATGTACAGAGAAGTAATTACCATTAAGCAGACAGTAGGGAAGACACACAGCTAATTAGTATGTGACTTCTGAAATGGAAAGCTGAAGCCTGCATACATTTTTACCAATTACTGTCCTTCTCAAATATCCTGAGATATAGGCAGCAGGAATTTACACCTTTGTCCAGCTTTCCTCCTCATATTATTGTTCATTTCCCTGTTGACATTTCAAAAAATCTGTTTTTCAAAAAAAAAAAAAAAGTTATGAAATAGTAGTGGGGTATACAAATTCATTAACATTTCCACCTTGCATAATTCAATGTTTGTTATAGCTTTGTCAATTTAACACATCGATTTAGTGCAATTAATTATTGAAGAAAAAAAATTGAACTACATTCGTGGTGTGGAAATGAATAAATAAAAATGTATAAGATAAATAGACCATTTAAAAATAGCTCACAAAGTTTCATATAAACAATTTTAGATATTCTACCATTCAAATGTTTGTGGTCAGTAAGATTTTTTTTTAATGAAATTAATACTTTAATTCAGCAAGGATGCATTTTTGAGATTTCTATTTAAAAAAAAAAAATGCTATTCATCAAAGAAATTTTTTACTTGCTGTATTTGCAGAGTGGGCATGTGGAGAGGCTGTATTCCCTCAGCAAGAACCAGGTGGAGGCTGAAGTCATTGTGCATTCGCAGCTGTCTAACACAACAGTTGACCAGGGTCCACAAAGCGACATGGAGCTCTGTCTGGAGTCTCCATCTTCCCAGCACCCTTCTCCTGGAGACAAGGCAACTCCATCAACCCCTCATCCACCTTGTGCTCACAACGAGGACAACAATGAGAGCCAATCTCCATCTCCAACCCCCAGCACTCACATCTCCGAAGTACTGTCCAATCACAATGGACCATTTGAGAGTGAGCTTAGCCAGCCGACAGTGGGTGGTGCCAAAAACCAAGGAGTGGGGCTTACTAATGGCTTCCACTCGTCCAAACCCCTTCGGCCAAAGGCAGAGACCCTGGAGAACGGGACCCACAGACTGTGCCCCACAGGAAAGGTTCTGTCCTCACCAGGTCTCCCCACTTCCCCCTCATCCTTAGCCAATTCTGGCCTTGACCATTTTACCTCAGGGGCGCATAACTATGCGTACCCCTAAGCTGGAAGGAAGAGAAGTGTAATAAATGGTGTTCCTGAAGTTCTGGGACAGAGAAGGACAACAGTGGAGACCAATGAGTGGCACCTTCCTGCTGGAGAAATGGATATTTTCTCATAGCCACGCTTGCCTCCTCTCTCAGCTGTTTTATTGCAACCTTTTGGTTCCATTATTTTATATGTATGTACATATAGAATATTTTTTTAGCACTAGCATCCATGGATATGCATTTTATGGCATATCAGTGGCACACTTTAATTCCTCTTTGTGTGCATGTATGGAATGTGCTGAATTGGTTTATATGTTTACATGCACACATGAGGTCAATGAGGTGAAGTCGAAGGATCCTGAAATCAGCCCTGCATATGGAAACAGAACTCATTCACGGGACAGATGTCACGGATCGATCCGAGGTGCAGACCCATTTTGTCAAAGAAGATTACCCTGCCACAAAGTACCACCTCCTGCTGTCTCAGGGTTGCTATACAAAGATCTGTGCTTTCAAAATGGTTATTATAAACAAAAAATAGCACCACCTTCAGTTCTACATGGATATTGCGTAACTGTCTATTTGACTTTAAAGGGATTGTGCACCCATCAATGAAAATTTCGTCATTTGCTCACCCTCGTGTTGTTCCGAACCTGTGCATGGACAAAAAAACATCTTTAAAATATCTTGTTTTGTTTTCTGCAGAGGGAAGAAAGTCATACAGGTCTGGAATTTTCATTTTTGGGTAAACTGTCCCTTTAACTTGATCAGATCAAAGGGACATCTTCACACGCATGCATGCAAACACAAACCTGAATACAATACAAATAAAAAGCCACATTCCCTGACTGGAGCATAGCGTCTCAGGAGTCTCAAATTCAAGGTGCATTTGTATATACATGATTGCTGTATTAAAAACATGTGGAAAAACGTGACAAAAATGAAGGAACACTCATGTACATTTTGTATCATTTCAAGTCTTGAGTGTACTTGTAAAGACACATCACACTGATTCATGCTCCAACTTTTTCTCAGTCAACAGCACTACCTCATTTCTTTACAGGATTATATTATTTTTCGGTGTGATTTTATGAGTGTAATTAAGAAGGCGACTTCTTACGTGCGTTTTTTAAGCCGTCTGATTCATAGCCTTTGGATAATAGCAGAATCTACTGCCCTTCTCACTCTGTCTGTGTTCTTGTGTAACGGTTACTGAAACCTTCGTCTCTGGTAATTAGCCTGTGTGCGAGCATGTGGTTATTCGCTTGTGTGATATGGGAGATAAATAATTTGATCGTCACAACAGTTTTCCAATATACCCTTCAAGTAAGGGATTTAAAAACAATGGGAAGTGTCCATAAGATCTACCTGTTGACATGCCAGTCATCTCCTTTTCTCAGGAACTTCTACACAGGGAGTCTGAGAAGAACATTTTCAGCCAAACTAGGAAATAGCCTCCATCTCTCAGGCAGGTCTTGTCCCGTACCGTATTTGTCTTTTGGCAACGCATCTTTCACCATTTCGTGTTCATCTGGAACGGTAAATAAACTTTGTCCTCCATGCAAAATCATGCATTGCTGCTGAGAGCAGGATTTGTATCTATTGCGCTTCACTTTTATGCATTTTAATGCTTATTTAAAGTAGTCTCTTTTATGTTAAAGCTGTTATATCGGAAGACGTCAACGACAACTCTCGGTCTAGTCGGTCTCTGTCATTTGATTTTACTCCTTATTCAATAATTTCACTGAATAGTGCTTTGGTGCTAGATCAAGACTGTAGGTTCCTTTTAAGATGGTATTTTAAACATTCCAGTTTTTGTATGTACAGTACAGCAGGCCAAACTCAGGGCTGATCATGTAGGAAATGAAGATGATGAATGTCTGAATTACTCTGGCTGCTTTTTAAACAACACACTGTAAGCATGTTGCATACCGTCAGTTGTCTCAATTCTAGATGTACAGTGGCCAGTCAACAACAACTTGATCTGTAGCTTTAGTCGATGATTTTACTGAGATTATAATGTATTTGTTGAATATGCTTCATGCTAAAAGAATAGTTCACCCAAAAAGGACAATTCTGTCATTGACGCACCCTCATGTCGGTCCAAAGTTAACCTGTATGACTTGCTTCTTTCTTCAAAAAAGAAGATATTCTGAGGAATGTTTCCAAAACTTGATTTTCTTTGTATGGACAAAAATCTCCATTCATTGTTCAAAATATCTTCTTTTGTGTCCTAAATGGTTGACAAATTAGAATTTTTGGGTGAATGATCCCTTTAAACTGCAAAAAAAAGGGGGTAATTTCGATTTCCATAAACAGTTACATTGCCACACAAATCATTCGTGTGCTTTTTGTTGTTGTTGTTGTTCTGATATGTTAGTGTTGTCAAACTGACTGTCTTAGCTTTGCTCCTGAGTCTTATACATCAGATTATAGTGTTAGCTCATCCCACCAACAGCATTAGGAATGTGTCGGGGAAATGAACTGATCTCTCGTTTTGTCTAAAAAAAAGGACATTGTGGTTTCGCCAGGGTCAGCGGATGTCTTGTCACTCAGATATGCATGTTATTTTTCAGCAGCCCTTCAGGATAAGTTATAATTCAGATACCTCATTTGCTGCTGCTTCATTTAATCACGGATATACCTTCTTCTACATGCACATATACTGTAGTTACGTGTGTAAAGGATCGGACGTTTGGATCTTTTGTTTGGCAGCAGCGTTTTCTTAAACTGGATGAGTTGATTGTCTCATTTTACCTCATTTTGAAGCTTCAGGCTAAGCAAAGGAATGGTTAACATTTGTGTTCATCTGGAAAAGTCTGGGAATTTGCAGAGCGATGGATAGCAAAATGCTTGAAATGAGAAATCGGGTGACCAGAGGGTTCCCCTGTCAAGCCATACCTCTCAAAGCAGACACAAGGTTGCATGTTGGGCCATTTTTACACTGCATATAATCAGTGCTTATTGCTCAGGTGCCCTGTCTTTGCTTTAAAACTCCAGGGGATTGCAACGGCTTACTATGATGGAAGGCAGTTTAATTTATTTAACATCCTGTAAAATAAAGGCTTTTAATGACAGGGGGAAAGCAACAACAAATAGTAACACATGCACAGACATTTTTTCTAAAGAAATCGTGTATTCTAATGGCTGTTTTCTCTTTGGTGCTTCGTGGTGACCTTTTTTTATTCTGGTGATGTGAGAATTCATCCATTTTTTTATTTTATTTTGTACTTTTCTCCCCAACCAACCAGAAGACCTGTGCTTTTCTGAGATTGTCAGCACACTGTGGACACATTTGTGTAACACCAGCAGCAGTATGGTCTCTGGCATCTGTCGGTAAATGTGAGAGACAAAACATCAGTCTCAGCACACACAAAACTCACTATCCCAGTGAGATTACAGCATGTGTATGTCTGCCGTCTGTTTGTTTGTTCTCATGGGCTTTTTTGTAAAATCAAATCTAGAGATTGTAAAGGGTTTAAGGCACAGTTTGAAGAGATTGAAGAAGCTTTCATTGACCATTCGGCTTGTGTTTCTGAGGATATGGGTAACTCGCATACATTAGAAATGTTATGCTCAACAAGATCTGTAGATCTTGTTTCCTTTGCTGTGACATCAGACTTTCAAAGTCACAATATATATGTATATTATAACTTAAATTTACTCACTAGATTGGATCTAATCTTTTGAACTGGAAAAAATGTGCCCTATAAATAATTGAATTATCAAATGAATACTCAATTATATCATATACATGAGCTGTGAAGGATGGAGTTTGGTGCCAGATTGATAGGTGCAGTGGAGGACAATATGATATTATAATGTTTATGTTCTTCCTCTGTCACTGTCTCTGTTTGTGAGGTTTGCCGCATTAGTCTCTGCAAACTTGTGAAATGTAAATAAACATCTTAATACTAAAAATAATTTGTCCCATTTTTTTATTTATTTATTTTTTTCAACGCAGTAAGACCACATTTTATGTTAGGCTATGAATTATACATCTTCACAAGGATCCTATAAAACATAGTATTTAGTTCTAAAGTCAAAAGGCAGCGACTTATTTCCAAATACATATTTTACCAGGAAATTTATCGGTAACACTTTATTTTGATGGTCCCTTTTAAACATTCTGTATAGACATAGGCTGTCAACTTCCACTAACTCCCAATGGAGTATTGGTAATTACTCATTACGCTCTGAATCAATCCACAATCTGTGTTTAACTTTTGCCAGAACCGAGCTGGGTAAAGCCTCTTTTAAATATGCAAAAGCCTCGGATTGGAATCTTCTCCAAACTGAGATGTAGCTAAAACATTTGGTGTCTAGTAGTCATTTTAAATTTTTATGAAGCAATCATCAGAGTAATTTAACAGTGTGCAAATGTATTCCACCTGTTGTAAACCCAGCTGCCATACTGTATCTTGGCCAGGACACTCCTGTAAAGTAAATTTTAATCTCAGTGAGTCTTCTTTCCTGGTTAAATAAAAGTTATATACATTCTGTCGACTAGACAGGACTTTACAACTTCCACTAACTCTCATTAGAGTATTAGTAGACTGTCTGCTTAATATCTGCTAACTCTTTATTGTGATGGTGCCCCAACAGACATATTGACTATAAGTGATTTTGGAACTATGTCCACTTATTTTAACCCTACCAGTCTATAGGCAACTCCTCTAACACTAGTAATCCAACACATTCTCACCCCAAGGCGTCACCTAACTGACGCCTTGGGAAGCATTTGACCATGCTTCAATATCTGACGCTTTAGGCGCCCTTTAGCGTCAGTTAGATGACGCCCTAGGATCACGTGTACCCTACCCCCACCCCACAACTAAACCTAACCGCGTCCTCTAACTGACGCTTTCCTTTAGCGTCAGCTAGATGACGCCGTAGGATCGCGTCATGTGAGTGACGCTAAAGGGCGCATAAAACGTCAAATATTGAAGCATGGTCAAAGGTGACGCCGGCTGTAGTAATCAGAAACCAATTTATCTAAAATTGATATTCTTTTGTGAGATCTGAAACCCATTTGGCCTATAAAATCACACAGAAACCATAGAAATGTGCAAGTTTGGTAAATTTGTGTGGATGAGACTTTCTCGTAGCATTTGACAAATCTCTTTTCCAGCCATGCACAGCTAGGCCAATTGTTTTGTGCTTAAAATGACTTTAATAATAGTAACAACAGCACAAAATAATATAGGCTGCATATAATATACAACAAAGCAACATTTCTGGTTTGGAGTCAATGTAGAGGTGTTTGAGTCATTACTGGTGGGCCTGATGAGGTAGGCCTACTGGATAGCCTACTGGTTTAGATCAAGCAACCATGTTCATTGTAGTGTAGGCTATTTTGAACAGCCAATAGATGGCACTCTTTCATCACTATAATGCTTGAAATTTCAAGATTTAAATAAAGCGAAATATTATTTTTCTAACAAAATTTCAACATAATATTTTTGAAAACCTCAGGACAGATAATATTTTCTTCAATAATATCTTTCTTTACGATAACTGATAGGCTAAACGATTATGACGATGATGATTATTCTTTCAAAAATGTCCAATAGCCTATAATGTAATTAAAAATTATAACTTTAATTATTATCATTATTATTATTATCACCATCATCCTCAACCTAGGATTAACCACCTCATTCCATCTGTATTTTCTTTCATCTGTCTTTGTTCGTGCCTGGAATAGCCTAAGTCTTTGTTCAGCTATGACCTGTTTATTATAAAATATATTTTATGGAAGATTTTATAAGTTTTTTTTATGTCCAGACTGGCCTGCACACAACCCGACGGTACGGTAGATAGGTCCCCTCATCTATAGCTCTCTAGAGATGGTGTCTTTTGTTCGAGAGAGAGAGAGAGAGCGAGAGAGAGAGCGAGCGCTTGCGTGCGTGCGTGTTCTGATCGCGTGGAGGAGAGAGCGCGAGATGCTGCTGACACATTCCTAAAAAAGATGTGTAAAATGGCGCAAGTATGTTGGAGCCACCGGCTGTAGTTTGGATCTAGAGGAGCTGGTTACTGCTTTCACATCCTTGTCTTCGCTCTTGCCTCACCTTCTTTCTTTAATTTCTTTTTTCTTTTTTGCATCTCGTCTAATTTTCAATGTGATTAAATGGCTTCCGGACGGTGCCGTCAGGCTCCTTGCTCACTCGGAATACTCCTGTTCGCTTTTGTGGGTAAGTGTGTGATTTTTCTCCGGGAATCTCTCGGTATTATTGGGTCAATTGGTCCGCGAGATTGACTGTGAACTTGATCACATTGCAGTCGGCTTCATATGTTTCTGAAGCGGTTGTAACGTGTGTGTTTACTGCTGTAGTTGCGACTGGGTGGGTGTGTTTGGCTGCGAACGTTACATGTAGATGTTTGGCTATACGTGTTTTTGTGAATGGAGAGTTATGCGCTTGCTTGCTTACACGATTTATTAGGGTTTCGCACTGTTTTCAGACACTGGACAAATGTTATGGTGTGAAGTTTGTCACATGTGTTGCATGTGGAATCTAATAATGAAATTCTAATCATATTTCTTCTTGAGCAATATGAAACCTTGAGTTTGAGTTTATATGAGTTATATTCCCATACACATCAGAAGCGTTTTTTCTGCTATTAATGTGCAATCTATAGTCGGTCAGACATGGCATTGGCCTTTATCTTTGAGAAGTGATAAGTGTACACTTTGATTCATTTAATAGTAGCCTAGCCTATATGTGCGTGTTTTTTATAGCCTACCAGTACAGCAATGTGTTCCTGTTAAAATTGCTTATTTTTCGTGCAATATTGCCCAAGCATCAATATGCACACACACACACAAAGATAAAATAAAGTGTTAATAATGTTAATATAGACCTAATATTTGTAATAAAATAATAAATAAATGAACTTTCGCCAAGACATTAATAAACATTAACCGACTTTGTACAATCGGTATAGAGATCAGAAGAAGCTGAAGGGTGTGCTTTTTATTGAATTTTTTATAAATCATTCTTGATATACAGACACCTTCAGCACTAGATATTTTAACAGTTCAGGTTTCCGGCATGTAGGTTATTGTTCATTTTTAGTAGTTTAGGCTTTAAGGGATAACTGAAAGATGCAGAAAATTGAAAATCTGAATTGCAGGAATATTTCCTAAAATATAGTAGTTTTCCCCTCTCAGCCCACAGGTGAGCAGCTTGAATCTGTCGTCTGACAGCAGGAGCTCAGATTGATTGTTTCCTATATATTATTGTGTTTCCATTGTAATGGAAAAGTGAGAGAAGAACTGAAGGTTGTTGTTGTCTTGAAGATTGTGTGTCAGGGCTGTCTTTTCCTTCTCCTTTAAGTTTCCATGGCTCCTTTGTTCCCCTGTAATTGTCGGTTTGTGTGTGAACCTGGCCTGTTTTCCTGGGCTGGAGGGCAGTGTGCAGGATGTGCTTATGGAGCATGACATCTAGGGAATCAGGATGTTGCTTAGCATTCACAAAGCTCATTTAACTACCAACTAGTTCGGTCATCAAGCAAACCACATGCGTGCTGAGGTCATATATTCATTTATTGGCTTATGCTGGAGTCCTCCTTCAGGTCTTCATCGCAGGGTGCCATCGCAGAGCTGTCAATCAGCAAAGCACTTTGAGAGAGGAGGAAAGATTGAGTTGGAATAGCATGGATTGGGTTTTTTAAATGACTGAATGTCTTTTGTTATCTCCCCAGGGGGGTGGTGGAATACATGTTTTTTTTTTTTTTTTGGATAGGTACGGTGGCTGAGAGACCTCAACTCACTGCTGGAAAAAAAAAACATGAAAATAGAAAAAAAAATTAAGAATACAACTTCATCAGTTTGACAACACTTATTGCAAATACTTGTAACACAACCAAATACAGAAACGCTCTACAACGCATATACGATCAGGGTGTTAAAATAACTGTGAACAGACCTCCAGGTTTGTGTGAGAATACAGTGCACAAATGAAAGTGCTTTCTCAGAGAGAGGGAGAGAAGTACACTTATGATGGCCCCGGTCTCATGGGAAAGTGAAGGCAACAACATTGCAGCTCAGGCTAAATGAAGTTCAAACAGAAGGCTGAATGAACATATAATATATTTTTTGCTTGTGAGATATATATATATATATATATATATATATATATATATATATATATAAACATATTGAAATAAACGTCCCCCACTGAATTTAATACTCTCATTGAGCTCTGATTGTGCGATAAGAACTTTAATTGAAAAATTCCTCACATATCAAGCAGTTGGTCCACTATTAAAGCTGCAACTAAAAACAACCCACTCCAGTTACAGAGCGATGATGATGATGATAGATTTTAAGGTCACCCTACAAAGAATGACTTTTTCTTTCCTCCCCTCTATGGCCTCAATCTAAGAGTTCTTTCTGTAAATCTCAACAAAAGAAAGGGGCTGAAAGCAGCCATCCCATCACTCTGACAGCATGTTTCAGTGCTTTGTCACAGGAAGCCAAAACAAGACCTGTAGTGTGCAAAAGGCTGTCACACCAAAACCCTGGGAAGAGATGTTGAAATGAGGAGAGCAAAAGGTTTTGGTATTTGAATTGAGCAGGTGAGGCTATACGGATGCCCTGTTTACTAGCGGAAGGCTCTTTAGAGATGATGGAGGTGGCACCTCGCCCCTGGATATTGTTTCCTTCACAGCTACAGTATAGGTCATCCTAAACCAATGATATTTAGACTCTAAATTTTAGAGTGAGAGGCGAATGTCTATTTAGAGCGGAATTATCCTTTGCTAATAAAACTGGGCTGATCATGGTCTGTGCACACTTTAATTCACTGCGTGATTGGTGTGATATTTTACCGACTCAAGGTTAGAGAGGGCTTAAGAATTGGCATTTAGTTATAATCACATTTACATGATCTAGTGCAGGTTACATTTTTCTTTGCAGCAGATGATAAATCCATGTCGCATTGTGTGGAGGATTGATGCTGAAATATATAAGGCGTAATTGTGTCCTTTTTCACAGGAATAAGACCAGTACAGTGCTCTTCCTGGCCTTGGTTTAGAACTGTTTCTAAATTCAGGGGTGCAAAAATACCATTTACCATTTAAAGATTTTCTAAAATGGTCATGATTTTAAACCATGCATCCTCTAATGTGGTAAAGTTTTATGTTTGAAAGTGACATAATCTACATGAACTATAGGTATAGTTCTCCTTAAAAGGATAATCTGCCATCATCTACTCCCTCTAATGTTGTTTGAAGATATTTTGCCGAATATCCAGGCTGTTCTTTCAAAAATTGTGACGTATGATCTTCCCTTATGCTGTTCCAAATTATTTTAGGTCATCTTTGAAACATATATGAAGATATTTTTTAAAAATTTTCATCATTTTTGAAAGTCCACGCTACTAAAATTTAATGCATCAAAAGCTTTTCATGCATTAAATTTTCAAGCTCCTTTGAATGTGTTGCACTAGTTTATATGCAGATTCTGTTTGAACAGGTTTAAATCAGAAATTGAATAAATGGACTTTTCTACGCATAAAGCTATCACATGACTTCAGAAGACTTAGAATATACAGTAGTGCACAAGTTTATAGACTCTCTTGGTATTTTATGCCAGTTAGTTGTTAATTTTGAAATCTGACAGCTGCAGGTACTTCATATTGTGTGGAAAAACAGCTTGGACGTTAAGCTAAATAACCTCTTTTGTGTAGCAAAAAAATAAGTGTTTTAGGCAACATAAGGGTGCGTAGATGAAAATCCGGTCATCTTGCCGTGAACTATCCTTTTAAAATGTCTCTTCTTTGGGTTTCTTCCTTCCTTCTAGCTGATAAATGTAGGTTTCTGCAGGGAGGAGAGAACAGTGATTGAGTCTGATGTGGTGTGGCATGTTGTTTTGAGTGTCAGTGGTAAACCCATGTGTGAGCATCACTCAAAGGCACTCTCTGTGAGTCTGCCTGGCAGGCTGTAGGATTCACGCTGGGCTAATGCTGAACTCCAGGGTGCTCTAGCCGTGCTTAAACCCTAAACACTTCTCAAAAGAGGAGTCACTGCAATCAGCCTTTGTTGTGTGTGACTGCTTCTGTATTTCTTCTTGCATTTGAATCTTTCTTTAAAATTAATATTGTTTCTCATCCTTTTCTCATTTTACTTCTTCGCCTTGTTTCTTTTCCTCACATTTGTTGTTACATATCTCTTCTGAATGATGTATTATCTGAGTTCAAGGAGCCTTCTTTAAAGATTTCTAATCACTAACTGCATGGGTTTACTGCTGCCTATGTGGCTTGATTGAACATGGATGGTTAACAGAAGCATGAACATTTAGTGAAGGATATACCTGCAGGCAGCAATGAACTTGTAAATATAGAGAAAAACAAACAAAAGTGATCAAGATTTTGAGAATTATATGTATAGTTAAATATAGTCATTAATTGTAGCAAATTAATTGTGTGAAACAATCTAAAATGAAGAAAAAGGTGTGTATACAGGTTTGTTTTTGAAGTCTCTTGCATAGTTCACCAAGGTTACATTTATTTGATCAAAAATAGTAAAAACAAATATATTACATATTATTACGAGTTCTATTTTGATATATTTTAAAATGCAATTTATTCCTGTAATGGCAAAGCTGAATTACTCCAGTTTTCAGTGCTATGTGATTCTTCAGAAATTATTCTTATATGCTGATTTGCTGCTCAAGAAACAATTCTTATTATTATCATTTGGGAAAACAGTTGTGCTGCTTAATATTTTTGTGGAAATGGTTAAAATTTTCCACGATTCTTTGATGAATAGAAAGTTCAGAAGAATTTTTGTTGTTGTTGTTATAATTCAATGCATGAATTTCTTGCTGAGTAAAAGTCATTATTTCTTAAAATCTTACTGATCTCAAACTCTTTTTTTTTGCATTTGCACTATTTTGAAGTGTGTAAGTGTGAGGTTGCTGTCTAAAAGTATATGCTTCAAGAGTTTAAAAAGGTTTGAAAGCAGATGTACCAAATCAAGCACAGCATCGAATCACACTGCAGTATTTATATACTGTATCAACACTTGAATTATAGTACAGTAGTTTGAAGAAATCAAGTTGTGCGTGAGTGAAATCAACATCAAACTTAAAAAGATCTAAACATAATGCTGTCCTGGTGTTTTATCAATGAAGAGAATGGAAGAGAAGATGTATTGCAAAGAACCTGAAAAGTTCAGTTGCTCTTGGGACGTGTGTGTAACCCTGAGAATGACGCTCTGCTGGAGCTGCAATAAAACCTTGTTAGAAGTCAGAGAAGAAAACTGTGTCCATTAATAAAACTGGGCAATTGATAGGAGAGCATGATTCTTGTTTCACAAATGGAGCAGGAACAAAAAGAGTGATTTGGAGAGGAACAGCAGTGAGATAAGAAAAACCTGGAGAGATAACTCAAACCCCTTAGCCCACTTTAGTAACATAATGGGAAGCTTTCCCTCTATTGTCATGTGATCTGCAGGGACGAGCGAGTCGGTGCATTCCACGGCTGCACCTTTAGGGGTTGGAATTTGAGCGATGATGCCAGAGTTGGTGTCTAGCTGTGCCCCCTGCCTGCCGAACTTCAGATGGATTCCTGAGCCGCAGGCAGAGGCTGCTACTGCTTAGCCCATCAGTGACTGAAACCCGATACCTCCAGTTCTGAGCACAAGAGAGTCCGCTAAGCTCTCCTTTTTATCACGCTAAGTCAGGACGGGCTGCTATTTATTCTTCGTCCCTAATTTGTTGTGGGTGTCACTGACCTGCTGGAGGACATTATTATTAAAAGGGAACATTTCAAGAGACTCGAGGCACTTTCACATCCAAGGATGATTACGATAGTTATCAAAATAGTTCTAAAGTTTATATAATAGCAGTGTCTGTACACTATAACTATAAGGAACTATATTGGAAATTGTAATCATTTTCTGAATGTTTTTTTTTCCAGCTGATGAATGATAAAATCATTGACAGCCAATCTGAAAAGAGCTTGAACATTTAAAGCGGCAGTGCATGCTTAAAAGAAATGTAATGTAACTGTGCGCTGGTTGACGCTAATACTGTTATCATAGTTATCGTTCTTGGTGTGAATGAGCCTTTAGTGTGGAGCCCCTAAAGAGACCTTTGCAAAAATAAAAAATATAAAGACTTTTGCGTGCTCACGAGAAAAACTATCGTGTGATCCTGCGTTACAGTTTGCATTATGGTGTCATTATTACGGCTGCGTCCCTATTCGCCTACACAAACAATGCAGTCCCTTTACTAGTGATATAACACAAAATATAGAACATTTATTCTCAAGACCAACACGCTAATATTCCACAATAAATTGACTGTCACAAATCATTGAAATGTGCGCACTGATGTCACTGCCATCACATATAGGCAGAAGTGCCTTGTGTAATCCAGGTAAGCAGTTACGCTTTCTCCGATGGTCACAGACCCTCTCATCTCCCTATAATAAGACACATTTCTGGAGGCATGCTCCAAGCACACTCTCATCTCTCCCAATTCCCCTATTCAATCCCTATTCCCACATTTGTAGTAATGACACTATAACGCAAACTGAAAATTGTAACGGGTGAGCACGCAAAAAGTCTGTATATTTTTTCTTTTTGCAAAGGTCCCTTTAGGGGCTCCTCTTCTGCTGTGGTTTCTATCAATAAAACAGCATCTTACTGACTGTATGTTGCTTAGTGCTGATTTGGTGCTGGTCTGGCTGATGAGCTAGAAAAACCTTGCTGGTAAACTTTGTCTATCAAGTTCTGGTAGACTATTATACTTTCATGGTTCTTCTTAGTTGCCAAGGTCGGTAGTGTAAGCTAATTTACCTGCCTAGGGGTGAACGCATCAGCATCCAAAACAGAACGTAATGAGGAGCCAAGCAGGGTCTGAGTGTAGTTGAACCCAGAAATAATTCACTTGCTTCAAAAGATCAAAAGTGGTGGTGTTTATTTTGCTGTTGGTGTTGAAATAAGTCCCAGTTCTCACTTTCTTTCTCTTTTATATTTACACTAAATAATACAAATGTTATGCTGTGATGGACTGACCATTTTTCCTAGGGTGATTCTCTGCCTGTAGCATGAGCTTCTGGAATAGGCTCCAGCATCCACACAGCCCTATAGGAAATAAATTACAGACCCTTGCAAATAGGACACTAGCTTTTCACACTAAAAAAAGAATTGGCTGAATTGCATTTAGTTTAAATCAAAGTGACATTTTAAATTTTACTACACTACTGATCTATGACTATCAATCAAATTCACTGCACATTTACGACACTGAGCCATTTATTCCCATTCTCTACACTGATATATATCTGCCAGGCAGATTAATTGACTTTTACTTGGCCATTTTTAAATTGACATCAGCAGATAATCATGCCAACTTTGAGTGATTAACGGAAATGTTCTTCCTCTTTCTGTTCCTAAATAGCTTTCATAATACTCTCCTACAAAGCAAAAAAGCAGTAACTGCATTTTTGGTCAAACATTAGTTATTATCATTTTCGTGAGATTCAAGGCATCCTTTGTTCAAAACATCTTATCTCAAATTTGTGTCGTTTTGAAGAAAAATACTGTCGTTTGTACTGTAAATACCTCATTTTTCTCAGTTCTGCACTCTGCGTAGTTATTGCTTTGTGGGGCAGAATAGATAATCCAAGTATTACTCACAGTACCACACATATACAGGTATGTTTGTGGCTGGCTCAGTAAGAAAAAAAAATCTTTAAAGAAATTAATACTTTTATTCAGCAAGGATGCATTAAATGAATCAAAATGACAGTAAAGATTTTTATATTGTTACCAAAAAATTGTATTTCAATTAAATGATGTTTTGACATTTCTGTTCATCAGAGAATCCTGAATTTAAAAAATCCAGCTTTGCAATCACAAGAATGAATTACATTTTAAAAATACATATTCAAATAAAAAAATATATTTTTAATTTGTAATAATATTTGACAGTTTAACTGTATTTTAGATTTTAAAAAAAGCTTTAGAGCTTTAGTGAGCATAAGTGGTTCTTTCAAAAATGTTAAAAAAAAATTTACATTTTAACGGTATTGGAAAATATTATAGAGAATTTTTAGTCCATTTAGTCAATATTACTTAATTATATTGTAGATTTGAAAATCCTGCTTCCCCCTATTATTGTTAAATCACGGACGCTACACCAGTTACTTTTGCCAAAAGATATCTATTTATAATGTATCATCATGTGTCAACAAAGAAAAACACAGGCATATGTGATTTCTTTATTTACATATGCCTGTGTGATATGTAAGTCTTTATTCCAGATTTCTCTGTTCCCCATTTCTCACCCCATCATCTCTATGTTTCTCTTCTTCTCACCCTATCATGCCATGTTTCTCTGAGGTGGTACAGTAAGATTGGACTTAGAAACACAACTGAGTGACTTTCAACTTCCTTGTAAAGCAGCAAAACATGTTTAATGCACCTAATGCACATGGTACAATCCACCTTCCACATTAAAAAAACTATTTCTCAGTGTATACATTAGTGATCTACAAATGGTACATTTGCATCAGTTGAGAAACATTCCTTTAACATGCAAAGAGCATACCAACTGCATGAATATGAAGTACTTTAATAATCATTGGAACATCTCTGCATAACGCTAAGCAAAATATAACTCTACCAGCTCTCTGCTCAGCACACATGTACAAACATACTCTGACTTCACAAAATACATTATGAAATTATTATGAAAATAAATAACATTTAACGGTAAAGTTTTAAGTCTTCAATTAAATAGCGCATAAGTGTTAACTTGAGCATTTGATTCCATGGTTTAAATTGTAAAACTTTGAGCAAAGCCATCTGACTAAAGCCTTTTATTTGGATAGTCTATAGTTCCGTTTTTAATCTGTGTGCATGTTTGTGTGTTTGTGCCTTTTAGGTATGACATCCGGGGCCGAGCTGTCATTCACTCTGGAGCCCAGTGACATCATCGCTGTTCAGGAACAACCTCTGATGCTGCACTGTCAGGTGGAGGGGATCCCACCCATCACCACACAGTGGAGACGCAATGGAGCGCTGATTGTGGAAGACCAAAACTACGTCATGTTCGCTAATGGCTCGCTTCTGATTGGCCACTTCCAGAAGACCAAGTCTGATGGCTCGTCTGATGAGGGAGACTACGAGTGCATAGCCCAAAACTTTTTTGGTCTTGTCTTGAGCCGCAAAGCCAGAGTGCAGGCTGCTAGTAAGTAGCATTTCAGTGTTGTAATTGAGAGATAAGACCTTGTTCAGGTTCACACTCTGTTCATTTTTTTTCAAAGATTTTTTTAAATGGCAAATACTAGAAAAGGTAAAAAGAACAAAAGTTTTAATGCATACAATGGTAAAATTGCTCGAAATTGTTAGTTAAAATTATTACAGTAATAATATCGTCTCATCTGTTTCTGCTTAGCTTGCCGTTCATGATGATGAAGATGTTAATGAATTATTGTAACGTGTTCAAGGCTCATGCAAGAAGGAGGTGGGAACCGGTAAACGATCAACATAAAGTTTAATTATAAAACGACACAGATGGCTGCTACATATAAACTTAATATTGTATTATATTAATTATATTATATTATATTATATTATATTTGTTGGGTGTAAGAAAAACACATTATAAGCTAAATTATTATTATTATTATCATCATCATCATCATCAGGGAAGGCAAGTTATTTTTCATGGCACTTTTGAAAGTGTCTCCAGCTCAAATGGACCACCCCTGTTAAAAATGTGCCAGCAGATATTGGTGCTGTTAGATTGTCCCGAGAAGCTAAAGTGAGTTTGATAGAATTCACTGCCAGCTCATTTGCAGAGTCTTTCACAGTGCATGCAGTGTTAGAGCACGGCGTGGTGTAGACTCGGGCTACATTAACTTTGGATGAACTGAACATGAGGGACGCAGGGGGCTGGGACAGGCCATTTGATATATGGACAATGGGCTCCTTCTATTTCTGAAGATAAATTGGCTTGTAGGATCCAGTCTGCCTTTTGTGCGCTGCTGTGGCGCTCCCAGTCGTGCTTGTGTTGTGATTTATATTGCTAAATCTCTGGCTCTTGTATTGAACTTAACTATTAAACCCTGCCATGCTGTGCTCCTTTCCCTCTGCTTTTGTCGATGTCACAATAATCTGGAGTGCTGTTGTTCGCCCTCTTGCTGGTCACAGGCACCAAGGCTAAATTTGCTTTTCTAGTCGCCCATACCCACCGTGGCCCCGTATGAATCGCGCCTTGTTCCCGTCCAATGCTGAAGCTCTGTTACTGTATTGTGCTTATGATTGGATTTTAAGTCAACTAAAGATGACTTATTATGATTTGTCCGGTCTCATGTCGTCCAAAATGTGTTTGATCTATATAGATGCTGGGTAAATATAAAGGGCACAAGAAGAAAGAAAACAGAAGGGCCTTATGGAGGGTTCTTTATGCTCTCTTTAGCGGTTAGCAGGAGGTAGCTGTGATTGCATAGTTGTAAATAGTAGCCGAGGGGAGAGCAAAGTTGGTCATTAAATGGATGTCAGGCGAGTGTTAATTTGAAAGCGCGCTGCAGTGCTAATGTGAAAGTGTGTTTTAGTGAAGATGTGAGAAATTCAGGTCTCTTGCTGTTATTAGATGGCGCTTCAGAAGAAATACGCTTTTAGAAATACGTTCCTTTCTCTTCAACTTCAAACAATCAAGACTCACAGTAACCTGTTAGCTTAGCGACTAACTTTGGAGAGAACTAGGAAATGTTTTAATAGTTTCTATAAGCTAAAGTGTCATCACTTCTTTATTTTATCATAAAATATGTATTTTTATTTATTTAAATATATAATATATATATATACCATTACTTAAATAATTTATATTCATGCAGATATAAATTTATAGTATATTTAATGATAACAAAAAGTAGTTATTGCTTTGGTAAATATATTATTTAAAATTGTAATTGAGTCATAAAAAGTGTGCATTCCATTTATTGGTCTTGATTCTGCTTTATTGCCAGTTTGTGTACATAAATAATACACATGAATCCATAGCATACATGGTCTGAACAGACATTTAATGCATTGTGGTCATGATGACACACCCAATTTAACATCTTTTTATTGACCGCATCATACATTTGCAATTGATTCTGCCTCCGTTATAGCAAACAGTGTCTGAAGACATTTAGCTCTGTGGCCGTATTGTTTGACACAAAAAGACATCTCCGCCTGCGGTCTTGTTACACATGCGCTCACGCACATGGGCAGCCCATGCTGTGCCATATCTGAACACAGCAGTCCATTTGTTGGCCTTGCAGTGAGGTGTGTGTGATGTGAAGATGGTTGACTTGTGCATGCGCACACACATGGTGAAGTGAGACTGACACACTGTGCGTAGACGGTGCACTGCTGTGTTGTGGTGCATACTCTGGCTCCGCTCCCAGTGGGCTAGTGGTTAGAGACTGGCTTCTGATGTTACACCGCCTCTGCCACGCCACAGGGAACAGTCATCTCGGCTCACTGGACTGGGGAACCTTTAAACCCACGCTCTCTGGGATGTTGATTGGTAAAGGTCAGCGCATAGTTAATTTTTAGCACCTTTTTCGATTTCTCATCAGGGCCAGAAAGGAATATGTCTGCTTTCTGCACATATTATGGGTGAACAATAGCTGGGAGATAGAGTGGGACGCAAATCTAATAGCATAGCAGATGAAGATCTATTGTTGGACTGAGTGATTGGCAAGCAAAACTGGATGTGGATGGACAAGCATAATGAAAAGCACTCAGATAAAAGCGTAATGTTATGTGGCAGAATATTTCCTTATTATTATCATACAAAGATTGATGTAATTCATTATCTATGGCACCATCAATAAAATACTGTACCATCAGGTCTGGGTACACACACAATGAGACATAGTGGGATTTAAATATGGAATGATGTGCTGTAATACATTTAAACAGAGTTGCATGAAGGTGTGAATTGCAAAGTCATGTTGACTTTCAAGATATGGGGATACTTTGGAAAAAAAATGTTTTTTTATATATATTAAAAGATTTATGTGCAATTTTTTTTTTCTTATGTATTGTGAAGTACATCCAAGTGAGATGGATTATCAAAAAATGTTGGGTTGGTTGGTTGTTGATTGAATGATGGTAGACCTGAATGTGAGCTTGCAGTCGATTGTACAAAAAATACAGGGCTTGAGATAAAGGAGATGTAGGAGAAGTCAGCCTTACGTTCCCAGAGAGAAGTTTGTAGTTTCACTGAAATTAAAAATGACAAGGTCAAAACTATGAAACGTGAATGGGTGAATTGTTCACAATAACATAACATGCTAGATAGATAGGATGAATTTTCATTTCATTCTGACTTTAAAGTTTCTTGTCACAAATTGTCTGAAAAAAAAAGAAGGAAACATGGTACAATATGATTCATTCATAGACCCTGCGACAGAATTTGGTGTATGTGAATTTGGTGTAATTAAGTGTATGTAACAGCACTCAAGTCCAAATATTATTTCCTTTCATATTCAAACCCGATTAGCAAAACCTGTGCACATCCTCCAGTAAAAATAGTCTGGGCGCACACTTCTTGGTTGTACGCTTGTATGTAATGGATGGCCCCAGCTTTGGTCCAGATTGATCTGAGCTGTAGGATCACGACTAATTCGAAGGTCTCTCAGTGACCTTTAGATCCCTGCACTGTAAGCTTGAGCATTGACAGTGGGCTCCACTTCAATAAAGCATGTGACCACTCTTTGAGTCTTTCTACATTCTCCTTTTATTGTCATACCTGTGACATATATATAAGTGATGTAGGTGAGCGAGAGTGTGTGTGCTTGCATGGTTTCAAAAGGAATGATGAGTGTCTAGAGTATCATGTTACCAGCGCTCAGGGCATGGCCTCTTTATCCATGAATCTTTAGAAGTGTACAGGATAAAGGAAGAACAGGCTTAATGGCCAACTGGATTCTCACTCTTCTATCTGCAGGGCAACTCTCACACAGCTGAACTGACGTTCTTCTCATTTTACATTGGTACATGTGTGTGAGCAGACTTCCCTTTGGCCTTAAGCTACAATCAATGAGACGCTAATAGTTCCTACACATGTCCTGCTGGAGATGGAGTTTGATCCTCAAGTCATTTCAAGGTTGTTGTTTTTTTTTTTTTTTTACAGACTGCCTTGGGTTTAGCATTATGACATGAGGCAAAATCCATAGTTTAAGTCATTAAGTTGGCTCTTTCTTCATTCTGGCCTTTTATTTTATGTTGTTCTCCGTCTTATTTTGTCTTGCTCTGTCTGTGTGTGGTACTAACAAACATACAGTAGGGAAATTTTGTTTCATGCTGACATTTAGGACATATTCACATTGTGTTTGGTTTTGGGATTGTACGTTATAGCTGTACGGTGCACCCTCTGTCCGGTTGCATAAACTGCTTCGACTAATCTTGCAAGTTAGTCATCTAATTTTCTTCTTCACAACTTTTAAAAGTCAGTTACATAAAAAGGTAGATTGTTCTAATGTGAAATCGAAAAAAAAAAGATTGGTTATACCCCTAACTAACTGCTAGGTTTCCTTTTAAGGAAGCTATACATGTATTAATCATTTTCAATCATTCAATAATCAATTATTTTTCGATAATCCGTTTCACTCAGAAGATGCAGAAAAAGATCGGTTGCTACTTTCGTTAGATCACTGCTAATGATGATCTGAATATGCTGTGAAAGAAAGACCATGCTTCCTAGTGCAGTATAGGTGCTCTGACAGATTCAGTGAGTTCATTCAGTTCATCACATGGGTTCAAATCAATAACTTGTGCGTTGTTGTTTTTTGTGTGCAATTCATAAAATTAGGCCCATAAGAGTCTGTGTCTGATGTCAGATGTCTGTTATTGAGTGCTGGCAGTGAAAATGATGCTATAGAACAGCATGTCTTGGTCTTTTTTTATTCACAGTACACCATCTTTTATCTCGCCACATTCAATTCAGGCTGTATGCTCGATTGAAATATGATATCTTTCGCTGTTGCGCTGCAGATTGAAGAGTAGCGAAGGAAACACTCCTCATAATCGTGGTGTGGTGTTTTATAGGCACAAACTCATTACCCTGTTGAAGACAGCAAATTATTAGAGACACCTAGGAGAGGAAGGTGATAACAGGAGGGAGAGTAAGAGATTTAATGTGACTGTGTGCAATGTATATTAAGAAAACTCTTATCAATAGTCTTCTCA